ATTTTGAAAAACTCCTGTGAAGAATAATCCCCCAAATAATTAATCTTTGTGTAGTGGTTTAATAGTTACTTTCATACAACCACTTGTATTACCTTCCATGTTCGTATTAAGTGTCCATGTTATTTACCAGTAAGTAATCGTTTCAGAAAATGGTCCAAAGAAACAAAATATGTAAAAATGTGAGACATTATTATTACATTATTATTAAACTGACACATAACAATATGAAAATGTACAGCATAATGTCACACATCAGACATTCTGTGCATATATAACAATTACACATCAACAACTTTCTGAGTTGTGGCAGAAAGCCACAGTTTCCCACACTTCCCTTGGCAGACATGCATAGAGTTGGTGCAGTCTTCATGATCTACTGTCATGAGCAGAACTCAGACAGACTAGAAATGTGGCATCACTTTATTATTCCAATGGTCATGACATGGCAACATCCAATATACACAAATATCAAACCATCTCTCTCAAATAATTGTACATAAATTCTAGAGCTGGGACGAGTCCAAATTTACTACCCGGGGCCCCACCCCACTATTATCTGACCTGTAAGGTCTCAAGAGATACAAAATGTCCGATTGTGATTTTTTTTACCACAGTACATGCAAAAAGTATTTAGATACATGAATTAAACAATCCGGTCATGCATACACTGAAGGTGACTTAAGTTATATATCTTTATTCAACCATATGAAAAGAAATTCAAACATTAGTGACATGTAGTGTAACCAGGGGTCCGGAAACTGCCATATGCGCCAGACATGTCCGATTGGGAATCTCAAATGTCCGTTTTAAAATATTGCTCACAGGACATTTTAAAAAGTATTGTCCAGACGTTCTTAAATTTTGACCGGACATGATCAACAGTTAGGACTGAGCAGTTTGTGTAACCATAGAGTTCTAGATAAATTTTGTTATTAAACAATATATCATGTGACTAACTAATTCTGCTCACAAGTTAGAAATGGGATTTACTATCAGTAGCCAAAAGAAAATCTTAAGATTCCATTATATGTCAAGTTTATAGGCGTTATCCCATTTCTGGTCGAGGGGACATGAGTAATAGTGTAGTCAAAAATCTCTTAAAATTAGAAATATTGTCCCATAGCATTCACATTCTGCTCTCGAGTTGGAAATTGTTTTTACTATCAGTAGCCAAAAGAAAATCTTAAGATTCCATTATATGTAAAGTTAAAAGGCATTATCCCATTTCTGGTCGAGGGGACATGAGTGATAATATAGTCAAAAATCTCTTAAAATTAGAAATATTGTCCCATAGCATTCATATTCTGCTCTCAAGTTAGAAACGGTATTTACTATCAGTAATCAAAACAAAGTCTTAAGATTCCATTATATGTCAAGTTTATAGGCGTTATCCCATTTCTGGTTGAGGGGACATGAGTAATAATATGGTCAAAAATCTCTTAAAATTAGAAATATTGTCCCATAGCATTCAGGCTCTGCTGACAGGTTTGAAATGTTATTTACTATCAGTAGCCAAAAGAAAATCTTCAGATTCCTTTATATGTCAAGTTTATAGGTGTTATCCCATTTCTGGTCGAGGGGACATGAGTAATAATAGTCAAAAATCTCTTAAAATTAGAAATATTGACCCATAGGATTCATATTCTGCTCTCGAGTTAGAAATTGTATTTACTATCAGTAGCCAAAACAAAATCTTAAGATTCCTTTATATGTCAAGTTTATAGGCGTTATCCGCTTTCTGGTCGAGGGGACATGAGTAATAATAGTCAAAAATCTCTTAAAATTAGAAATATTGACCAATAGCATTCATATTCTGCTCTCAAGTTAGAAATGGCATTTACTATTAGTAGCCAATAGAAAATCTTAAGATTCCATTATTTGTCGAGTTTATAGGCGTTATCCCATTTCTGGTCCAGGGGACATGAGTAATAGTGTAGTCAAAAATCTCTTAAAATTAGAAATATTGTCCCATAGCATTCAGGCTCTGCTGACAGGTTTGAAATGTTATTTACTATCAGTAGCCAAAAGAAAATCTTCAGATTCCTTTATATGTCAAGTTTATAGGTGTTATCCCATTTCTGGTCGAGGGGACATGAGTAATAATAGTCAAAAATCTCTTAAAATTAGAAATATTGACCCATAGGATTCATATTCTGCTCTCGAGTTAGAAATTGTATTTACTATCAGTAGCCAAAACAAAATCTTAAGATTCCTTTATATGTCAAGTTTATAGGCGTTATCCGCTTTCTGGTCGAGGGGACATGAGTAATAATAGTCAAAAATCTCTTAAAATTAGAAATATTGACCAATAGCATTCATATTCTGCTCTCAAGTTAGAAATGGCATTTACTATTAGTAGCCAATAGAAAATCTTAAGATTCCATTATTTGTCGAGTTTATAGGCGTTATCCCATTTCTGGTCCAGGGGACATGAGTAATAGTGTAGTCAAAAATCTCTTAAAATTAGAAATATTGTCCCATAGCATTCAGGCTCTGCTGACAGGTTTGAAATGTTATTTACTATCAGTAGCCAAAAGAAAATCTTCAGATTCCTTTATATGTCAAGTTTATAGGTGTTATCCCATTTCTGGTCGAGGGGACATGAGTAATAATAGTCAAAAATCTCTTAAAATTAGAAATATTGACCCATAGGATTCATATTCTGCTCTCGAGTTAGAAATTGTATTTACTATCAGTAGCCAAAACAAAATCTTAAGATTCCTTTATATGTCAAGTTTATAGGCGTTATCCGCTTTCTGGTCGAGGGGACATGAGTAATAATAGTCAAAAATCTCTTAAAATTAGAAATATTGACCAATAGCATTCATATTCTGCTCTCAAGTTAGAAATGGCATTTACTATTAGTAGCCAATAGAAAATCTTAAGATTCCATTATTTGTCGAGTTTATAGGCGTTATCCCATTTCTGGTCGAGGGGACATGAGTAATAGTGTAGTCAAAAATCTCTTAAAATTAGAAATATTGTCCCATAGCATTCACATTCTGCTCTCGAGTTGGAAATTGTTTTTACTATCAGTAGCCAAAAGAAAATCTTAAGATTCCATTATATGTAAAGTTAAAAGGCATTATCCCATTTCTGGTCGAGGGGACATGAGTGATAATATAGTCAAAAATCTCTTAAAATTAGAAATATTGTCCCATAGCATTCATATTCTGCTCTCAAGTTAGAAACGGTATTTACTATCAGTAATCAAAACAAAGTCTTAAGATTCCATTATATGTCAAGTTTATAGGCGTTATCCCATTTCTGGTTGAGGGGACATGAGTAATAATATGGTCAAAAATCTCTTAAAATTAGAAATATTGTCCCATAGCATTCAGGCTCTGCTGACAGGTTTGAAATGTTATTTACTATCAGTAGCCAAAAGAAAATCTTCAGATTCCTTTATATGTCAAGTTTATAGGTGTTATCCCATTTCTGGTCGAGGGGACATGAGTAATAATAGTCAAAAATCTCTTAAAATTAGAAATATTGACCCATAGGATTCATATTCTGCTCTCGAGTTAGAAATTGTATTTACTATCAGTAGCCAAAAGAAAATCTTAAGATTCCTTTATATGTCAAGTTTATAGGCGTTATCCGCTTTCTGGTCGAGGGGACATGAGTAATAATAGTCAAAAATCTCTTAAAATTAGAAATATTGACCAATAGCATTCATATTCTGCTCTCAAGTTAGAAATGGCATTTACTATTAGTAGCCAATAGAAAATCTTAAGATTCCATTATTTGTCGAGTTTATAGGCGTTATCCCATTTCTGGTCCAGGGGACATGAGTAATAATATAGTCAAAAATCTCTTAAAATTAGAAATATTGACCCATAGCATTCATATTCTGCTCTCGAGTTAGAAATGGTATTTACTATCAGTAGCCAAAAGAAAATCTTAAGATTTCATTATTTGTCGAGTGTATAGGCGTTATCCCATTTCTGGTCGAGGGGACATGAGTAATAGTATAATCAAAAATATCTTAAAATTAGAAATATTGACCCATAGGATTCATATTCTGCTCCCAAGTAACAAATGGGATTTACTATCAGTAGTCAAAACAAAGTCTTAAGATTCCATTATTTGTCAAGTTTATAGGCGTTATCCCATTTCTGGTCGAGGGGACATAAGTAATAATATAGTAAAAAATCTCTTAAAATTAGAAATATTGACCCATAGCATTCAGGCTCTGCTGACAGGTTTGAAATGTTATTTACTATCAGTAGCCAAAAGAAAATCTTCAGATTCCTTTATATGTCAAGTTTATAGGCGTTATCCGCTTTCTGGTCGAGGGAACATGAGTAATAATATAGTCAAAAATCTCTTAAAATTAGAAATATTGTCCCATAGCATTCATATTCTGCTCTCAAGTTAGAAATGGCATTTACTATCAGTAGCCAAAAGAAAATCTTAAGATTCCATTATTTGTTGAGTTTATAGGCGTTATCCCATTTCTGGTCGAGGGGACATGAGTAATAATATAGTCAATAATCTCTTAAAATTAGAAATATTGACTCATAGGATTCATATTCTGCTCTCGAGTTAGAAATTGTTTTTACTATCAGTAGCCAAAAGAAAATCTTAAGATTTCATTATTTGTTGAGTGTATAGGCGTTATCCCATTTCTGGTCGAGGGGACATGAGTAATAATAGTCAAAAATCTCTTAAAATTAGAAATATTGACCCATAGCATTCATATTCTGCTCTCAAGTTAGAAATGGCATTTACTATCAGTAGCCAAAAGAAAATCTTAAGATTCCATTATTTGTCGAGTTTATAGGCGTTATCCCATTTCTGGTCGAGGGGACATGAGTAATAATATAGTCAAAAATCTCTTAAAATTAGAAATATTGACTCATAGGATTCATATTCTGCTCTCAAGTTAGAAATTGTTTTTACTATCAGTAGCCAAAAGAAAATCTTAAGATTTCATTATTTGTTGAGTGTATAGGCGTTATCCCATTTCTGGTCGAGGGGACATGAGTAATAAAAGTCCAAAATCTCTTAAAATTAGAAATATTGACCCATAGCATTCATATTCTGCTCTCAAGTTAGAAATGGGATTTACTATCAGTGGCCAAAAGAAAATCCTAAGTCAGAAGGAATGGGTGCATAGTCAGAAAGAAATGCGAACATGAGTGACTTTTAGTGTAAGCATAGAGTTCGAGATAATTTTTGTCATTAAACAATATATCACATGACTAACCATGGGTCCAGGCAGTCCTGTGGGTACCCGGATCCTACTCAGTACCCACCCGACCCAGGTACCCGAGTAACCCGTTGCAGCCCTAATAAATTCACACAATGTCATACAAAGAAATACTAATGTTACAAAATGACATGTCACTGTGGTTCATGTACATCAAATTACTTTTCTTGTAAAGATAATATATGTGGGTGTTGATATCAGTGTGCAAGCACAATCATCACAACTCATCCAGCAAGTCAGTCATCCTGTATAACAGTGGCATTTTAATCCTCCCTGTGTGAACCAAGCCATGGTTATTCGTCATCCACAGTGATGTGGACACCCCTCCCTGGAACTTGACTGGCATCAAATTCTGTTGATTTACATTCATAGTTGACTTCTTCATAGGGTTTATTCAGCACATCCATCAGAATATAAATTATAGCTTCCTTTACCCCAACATACATCAGGTAATCTGTGGCAGCTCTGAAGTGTGAAAAAACATATGTTTATGTAAAAACAATTGACTAAGCACCGTAGCTCACAAAGACATCAACACATGTAGGCAACAGTTTGAAATATCAACAAAGCCAGTCATCTAACAGGATTTGTTGTAAGCATTGTCATTCATTCATTGTCATAGAACTATTTAAAGAAAACGCAATGAATATATCCAGAAATTGCAGCCTTACTGAAATATTTGGTTAACACATGTGACATCATTGGAACAAGTATGTGATGTTTCAGTGTCATTGTTTATGTGGTTTCTAAGGAGAAGAGAGACATCAGAAAGGGGCTTCGCACATTGTACCCATGTGGGGAATCGAATCCGGGTCTTCAGCTTGATGAGTGAATGCTTAACCAGTAGGCTGCCCTACCACCCCGAAGGAGAAGATGTTTACTCAGATGACAGATAACCAGTCCATGACATTAACTGGGTACAATGACAGGCAAAAATATTTTACCATCTCATACTGACTTTTGTTATTTGAACATGACAGTCACTGGAACTGTGTACCCCATGAGCAACATTCTATTCTTTTACCTGTCAGTGCCAATTTACTGTTAAGTGTTGGCTTCCATTTTTTCTTTGGTAATCACCTATCAGCACCAATGATCAGTTGGCTTCCCTTGTTAAGTTACCACCTTTGTTATCTTTTTACTTTTGTTGTTCTTACAGGAACATACATACATACATACATACATACATACATACATACATACATACATACATACATACATACATACATACATACATACATACATACATACATACATACATACATACATACATACATACATACATACATACATACATACACATACATACATACATACATATATGTTCTCTGCCTCATAGCATTCATTCACCTGATGAAGGAGTAAGTGTATACTCCGAAACGTTGTGTTCCTCATAATAAACAAGTTGACATCCATAAATTCTCTTCCTCTTGTGAATTGTTGAAAGACATTATAACATAACATATTATGACAGTTCATGTTCCTTATCAATACCTTAATAAGGTTTTTGGTGAGTAAAAGAAAAATAGCTGATCACCTCCATGGACTATAGGAAGATTGTCTGCCCTGAGAGCAGGAACATTAGGGTTTGATCTCCGGCTGCGTCATACCAAAAGACGTTAAAAGATTGCTAACGCAAATTGTGTAACCTTTAATACAGTTTGCTGACTCCGACCCAACTAGTTCTTGTTTTAGCCCCTTATTGTCGAGCACCAGACAGGGTAGGAACAAGTACAACCTTTTATCGTCTTTTGGTATGACGTGGCTGAGGGTCGAACCCATGACCCTCTTCTCTCCAGGTGGATGCTCTATCCACTAGACCACGGTGGCGTAAATCATGTGTTTTTTAAACATAAAGGTATTCTTACATCATGTGCTTTTGCGTTAAAAGTTCCAGCTTCTTTTCAACCTTGCACTTGAACAGTCGCATACTGCCCGAGTATATCCTCCTGTATCAACAAAGAAATCCATCATTTCATCATAGTCAACTGTTGGGTAAGTACCCCATGGGACAGAACATAGGTCCATACCAACATATGCTAACCTAATTTATCTGATGGTCAGGTTCGATGACTTGGTTTATTACATGTCAAGTGGAAGTGTCTATATGTCAGTGTGTTTGGCAGTTAACTGCCTGCATTGTTGCTTATTTGATGGCAATATGGGTCATGTGTAGAGTACTTCATCAGAAATTTACATGACATTCCATGAATGAAAACGAAAGCCAATCCTACAATACATTTTTAGTAAATGCAAATAAATGTAACATTAAGCCAATCATGGTATCTGTCTCATTCCTCTGGTATAACCTCAAAATTTAAATATATATGTATGTTATCAGGAATTATTTGAAACAACCTGTTTCACAAAGTGTCATAAAATATTAATATTTAATACCGTGTATCTTTCAGTCTGGTTAATGTCAAAGCTGATATCAAGTACTGAAGCATTTTTTGCTGCATCTGAAACAATAATAAAAGTATGCAAAATATATAGGGAATACACGTCTTGTTATGTAATGAAGTAAGTAGTTAAGCAAATATAAGCAGATATAGCAAAACTAATAACATTTCGTTTTAGTTAAAAGCACAAGTTAATTTGGAACGTGTTTAAATTGTACTTGTGACAACAGGGGCACCACAATTTCCTCATGACTTACCACCATGCACTTTCAGATAAAAATACTGTGTGTGGGAATAAAAGTGGAAAAAACATTTTCATAAACATAAAATAAATAAATCAACAAATCCCTTTCTATTATCATGTGAAATTTCTGCTTAAAGGGAAGTCTTTTTTACGAGTTTCACCAAATCACAAGCTTAGTAAAATCTAAATATTTTTTACATTTGTATACTTATCCTGCATTACTCCTTAATGCATTCACTGCTTACTTACGACAACTAGAAGGACAGCGCTGCGAAGGTCCTGGGTGAAGAAATAAAGTTGTTGTTCTCAAGTCCCAATCAGTGGCCTTCCGTCGCTGTCCTGTGACCTTGATGACACCTAAGGTCATCTTCACATCACTGCCTGTCGCCCAAGCTCTTAGAAAAACATACTTTTGAGGTTTCTGAAGCCAAAGTGGGGAGGCAAGTCTAACGACGGGTGGGCCTTAAGCGTAGTAATGCAGGATAAGTATACAAATGTAAAAAATATTTAGATTTTACTAAATTTTTTACTTATCCTGCATTACTCCTTAATGCATCTGTATCGGACGGTTTGGAGGTGGGTCAACCTTCAGAATACAGAAACCTCAATAATTCACACCCTGCAATACGACCCCATTTGGTCGATAAACCGTGAAGCGGAACAGTTCAGACAAAAACGCCATTACGGTAGGGTTGTTCAAAAATCAAAAACATTGAACATAGGAATTAAAGAGAAATTCCCTATACACGCTTAGTAATAAAGAAAATAATAGCTATTCAGCTAATTCTTTACTTACTGCGTCATACAGCCGTCGCTGACAAACAAGATTGTCTAATATTCTTCCACTGGTGGCGACTGAGTGACTGCACATGGAAGTTGACTGGCTCTGTATAGGGCGAGTTCATTATTTGCGTCAGTGGTTGGCAATCTGCAGGATAACAACCAGAGGGCCAAACTTCGAACGTCTTTGACATCCTCGAGAGTCACAACGCGAAGGTTATGACTAACGAAAATATGTGTCGAATCTCCAGAAATATCCTTCCGTGATTGTTCCAAAACCACAATTGCCGTGTTGAGCCCTGGTAAGGCTGACACCTTGAGATCTTGAGGGTAATTCGCTCTCGGCGAGTTCCGTTTGATGATCTCGTAGGCCTGAAGGATTACTGCGCGTAACCATATAGATATGGTGTTTGCGATTATGCGACTAACTTCTGTCGTGGACGAACCACGCCTTGTCTTGGAGCGTCGAATGAAAACTCGAACTGCTCGCACCGAGCCCAGGAGAACTTCACCATGTACGATTCCCACAATAGTCGATATCGGTGGGATGGTGAAGAACGGTCGGGTTGGCCTGGTAGTAGATTTTAGCAATAAAATCCCAGCATAACCCTAGATGTCCTGTTCCGTGCGTCCCATGCTCAAAACGGATCCGGGTTGAGTCGACCACATGTAGTTCGCTCACCCGTACCGCCATTGCTAATGCCAAGAGAAACCATTGTTTCCTTGGTGATGTCCAAGCTCCTCACAGCGATAGCCCGTTCGCGGAGCTCTCTATACTATACCGAGAGTGTAACGAAGGTGTCACGCGCTGGGAAGGAGCTTGAAAATGAGGATGCAATGAGGGGCTCGAAGGGGGCCCTCGCAAACCTCGAAGTACCACGTTCAAGTCCCAATCAGGTGGCTGGAACTTGGCCTTCTGATCCTCAAACCTGAATGAGCATAATATGGCCTGTAGTTCCCTGACCTTAATCACACTGTGATTTTCCGGAAACGGCCAACACTAAGATAATTGCAGCCAATTACGTAGTAATGGTGCTACCTTCCAAGTGTTTTTGGGTACGCAATGTAGGAGGTATTCCTCTAGGAATTGTGATGCAATCGTAGGGTCTTGATTCTTTTCTTCCCTGTAAAAAGTCTCAAGTGATCCCCACTTGTCATCGTCGTCTCTGGGAGAGTAACGATGAACTAAAGCTATAGCTTTGCTGCCCGTGTCGAAATAACCCTTCGCACTTAAACGCCTTTTAAAGACGAACCATGCGTGCAGACGTTGGGTGAGGCAATTTTCTGTTGAGGGTGGATGAGTAGGTTGGACCACTGTGAGAGGGGAAGTGAATCGTTTTAGATTTTTCCGAGCTTGACGAACTACCCTCTCGCCGGTTACCATGGTGCGACCAAAGGAGAGATCGAGATACCTTGTCTCCTTGATCCCCTGTAGCACCTTGGGAAGTTATAGTGGTGGCAGAAGAGTTTTAGTTCTTTGCCCTTCCCAAGTGATACTGAACTCGTCCACCGCCCAAGTCTGCGGATCCGGCAACGGGGAGATATACGTCATGAGTTGGTGGCCTAGGCAAGTAATAAACAAGTCAATGTTTGGTTGCCTGAATTCCTGAAGCAGTAACTGGAATGCTTCTGTGAGAAATTTCCACTCAGTGGGAGCCACCCTGTCTGGACGTGATAAAGTATCGGCCAGTATGTTTCTACATCCGGGGATGTGCTGAACTATGAACCTTAGTCACAGCCGATCCACTAGATGGAAGAAATCTGAATGTCCTTAGAAGTGGAGAGTGGGAGTGTGTTGTTCCCCGATTGCACAGGCACCACACCGCAGTGCTGTTGTCTGTGGATATAGCGAGTCGGGCTAACTGTAGTTGATTCTGCCAATGTGATATAGCCAGAATTAAAGCTTCCAACTCCAAGTTGTTTATGTGCCACTTCCATTGTGCGCCGGGCCATAGCCCTGAGCTTATCTGGTCTTGTAAGTGAAGACTCCACCCCTGAAAGGGGACGTCCACAAACAGGTGTGTATTCGGGGAAAATCCGAATAAACAGACTCCGCAGACATTCAGCGCCACAAATTGAGGCTCTAGCTTAGTTGGTAGAGTGATGGCCTTGAGTGGATCCTGACTCCTGATGTAAGGGTTCAGGAAAAAAATTGAATTGGTCGCTGTTGTAAGCGGCCCATGCTAGTTAACTCCTGTGCCGAGGTGATTAACCCTAGCAACACTTGCCACTGGCGAAGTGTGTGTGGTTGGTGTAGAGTAGATGACAAAAGAAGTAGAAACTTGTGCCATCTGTCCCTCGGTACAGATAGGATATCCTGGTCTGTCTTAAACAGGTCTCCTATGAACTGAAGTCAATAGGAAGGTGAATACTCCCGACTTCGCCTCGTTGATTGTCTATCCCAGTTATTGACATGTGTTGATGATACAGTAGATCGCCCTCCATCTACGACTCGAACCAAGTGTTCGTCACGTGTAGATAGTTATTGGCTTCATTACTCCTGTAAATAGCCATAAGTGTCACTGACATGTCAAATGTGAAATACTACCATTGGTAGTGAACCCCAATGAACTGGACCTGAAAAGTCTACGGTTGGGATGGATAGTCGAGACTGATGAAGAATCAAACGTTCGTTGAACACAGAGATTGTGGATCATTCTCATCTTGTCTGGGTCCTTCATGAGTACCAGGTAGGTGTGAGGATAAAACCCCGGAGTAAAGACTGGGTTGTGAACCCACTCTACAGCTCTTCTTACCAACAGTTTGTCTATGTTGGATTTTCCCAATCAAACTGTGGTCAACGGTGGGGTTAACTCTACCCTTATACGGACACCATGATATAGTGCGATAAGTACGAAATCGTCCTTGAGACTTGTCTCTGCCACTCCCTTTCTCAGTAAGGGAATGCTGGTCTTCCCTGAGAAACGCGCGTCTAGGCTTATAATTCCCTGACTTGGACTTTCCAAGCTTTTTGGGAACTTGACGTGCCTGTCTGCGATCTGTTCGTTGAACAGGGGAGTAGATGATCAAGGTTGACGTAATAGACTGCCCTTGAAACCAGCATCTCAGTTGGAAACGCTATAAAGTCTTGTGTGTAACGGTAATCACCGTCAGAACGGTCTCAAGATGAATTTTCCTGTGGTCAAACTGACGCTGTAGGAAAAACACCATAGTTTGGAAGTGATCTAATCAGATAGGGTTATCCTCTAATAGATTCTGATCCACTGCAAACATTGACGATATTGGTCGCTTACATCACGGAGCAAATGTGAGTTTTGGAGAAGGCTTCCTCCAATGACCTCGTGGTGTCCCTCTTATTTACCCTGTTATCAGGGGAGGGCGTTACTGACACGAGATGGTCTGCTTCCCAATCGGGTACATGTGCTAAGCTGATCATGTGCCGGTTACGTAACCGAGTACACTGTAAGCCTTGGGCTAACGTCATTGTAGAGACCTTGATTGATACGCAGACGCTGCGCTCAGCGCAGGTCTGGAATGTTGGAACAGCGCTAAGCTGATCGTGTGTCACTGGCGTGATAGGAGCGCTTGGGTATCAGTCAGACGCTGCGCTCGGCGCAGGTCTATGCTGGATATGTTGGAACAGCGCTAAGCTGATCCTGCATCACTGGCGTGATAGAAGCGCTTGGGTATCAGTCAGACGCTGCGCTCGGCGCAGGTCTATGCTGGATATGTTGGAACAGCGCTAAGCTGATCGTGCGCCGCTTGCGTAATAGAAGTGCTTTGGTTGTAGTCAAGTGCTGCGCTCGGCGCAGATAAATCAGACACAAAGCTCAAAAGTATTGACTGGATCAAGGCTTGTGTCTAATCTACCCCCATCATAGCATCTCGATACGCTGGTGCTGTCGCCGACGTCACAGATTATCATACATGTATCTGGAAGTGTCCGGCGGCTGAAAAAATAGGAGCAGTTACGATACTCACAAAATCCTCCGGTATTGTTGATTTCGGTGGATGGTGTACTTCTGCAATCACAGTCGTCATAATACCTGCCGATAATAACGGTTGGGTGGTAATGACAGAACCATATGTCATTCGCTATTCTGCGATAGTGACATTCCTCTCGTCTCACGACGGAATAACTGCAAAATATGATTGTGAGTAATCTGCTTTTATATAGTAAACTCGTTGGATTAGAGATTTACATAAAAATTACATTTTGAATTTTGGCGAGCACATCTACGTGCATGCCTATGACCGTGGATAAAGAGCTTTGGGCGATTATTCCACGACAATATGTACACCGAGCAAACATAATTATGTTACGCAATTAAACCATTGAAGAAATGGTACTGGAAGAATGCCGTAGAATTGAACAGTAATCTATCGGCAAAAATACGAATTGCAAGGGTATACAATATTTTTATATACGCAATTCAATGTAAACCAAGGCTATTTACATTTAGAGATTGGAGAGCACATCCGCGCGCAAACCAACCAATCGTGGATGATAGTCTTGTAAGGTTTTTTCCACGACAATTAGTAAAATGCTCAAAGGTATGTTACGCAATGAAACCCTTGTTGATGAGATAATACTGGAAGAGTGCCGAAGAATTTGAACACTAATCTATCGGCAAATTTATGAGTTGCAAGGATATACAATATTTTTGTATGCGCAACCCAATGTAAACCAAGGGTATTTATATTTTCATTTAGGGTTTGGAGAGCACATCTGCGCGCAAACCAAACAACGTGGATGATAATCTTTGTAAGATTTTTCCCACGACAATTAATACCACGCTCAATCATAAGTTACACAATCACATATATATATGTATGTATATTCAATGTCTGTACATATAGAGTAGGGAAAGGGCCACCTAAGTTGGATAACTTTTGCCCAATCCCGTTGACCATATATGTCAATAAAATATGTTTAAATTAAACACAATTACGCCATTGTTGATGAGGCGGTACTGGAAGAATGCCATAAAATTGAACAATAATCTATCGGCAAAAACTACGAGTTGCAAGAGTATACAATAGTTCATATACGCAACTCAATGTAAAACCAAAAATACCAACAAAAAACTATTTAATCGCATAAACATAGGTACGCAATAAAAGAATTGTTGATGAAGCGGGACTGGAAGAAAGCCGTAGATTTGATATTAATCTATCGGCAACCATATTTTTAACGAGTTGAAAAAGTATACAATAATTTTAGTATACGCAACTCACTGTTACGCCAAAGCTAGTAATATTTAAGAACATAAGAATATGTTATACATACGTAGCTGAGAATTGTAACAATATGACTACCTTGGCAGGCAAACGATTGTAACACAATTCAAAATGGCGGCGAACAACAATATTTTGGCGGGAAAAAAAACAAGTGTCTTTTCACGCCTAATTAATTCACATAAAACTACACAACATGGTGAAAGTAATATGAAAAGAATACATCACCCATCGCAGATCAATTTTTAAGATTGTAGACAAACTGAAGGTCTAAAATTAATCCAAAAGGAGAGCTCCGCTTGGACACGTCCTAGCTGTGCTGCGACAAGCAGTGATGTGGAGATGACCTTAGGTGTCATCAAGGTCACAGGACAGCGACGGAAGGCCACTGATTGGGACTTGAGAACAACAACTTTATTTCTTCACCCAGGACCTTCGCAGCGCTGTCCTTCTAGTTGTCGTAAGTAAGCAGTGAATGCATTAAGGAGTAATGCAGGATAAGTAAAAAATATGTTTTTATGAACAACTGTCAATACAGGGTGTTCAAAGAAAGGTGAGGGTGTCATTTCCCACTTATGACACCAATCACAAACACATGCAAAGGCAAGACTCGTGACACCTAAATAAATATGGGAACATATGGTACAAGTCAAAAAAAGGAATTGCATGGGACATCATTTTGGTCATTAATGCATTAAAGATGGAAATGGCTTCCACGTGTCTACCATGAAATGTTTTGAAAGCTTGCTGAGGCCTTGAATATTGTAGACTTGATCAAACAAGTTTGAAGCAAGAGTTGTATGGCACTCTTTGAAAAACTTTGTAGAAAGAGCACGCTCAATTGTACCTTAAAAGGCTGTAGCTGTTTGAAAATTGTCAGACATAAAAGCATAGTTGAGTACTAGAAAGTTGACGTCATCCTATTTGTTCTAGTCTTGTGTATACTTTATTGTCACTCTGAATCCTTATGCATAGACCAAAATATAAAACAGATGTACTAGTCTCTTTTATTTCCAGTTCAGTGGAAGGGAATGGCTACTTACATTATTGAACAGTTTCAGATCATTGATATACAGGAATCTAAAGTCAAAATTCTTGACTGAATTCCTGTGTTTTTTATTTTGCCAATCCAAGCAGAAGTTCTGATTCATATGCATAAAGAAACAGATGGGCAAGGACCTGAGCACATGGCTACTACAGGAACAGATCCAACAAGAAGGTCCAATTCCAATTAACCTAGTAATTGCATGAACTAAATTATCTAAATAAAAATGGTACAGACGTTACTAGAAGTCAGACAAAACATATACTTAATGCAGTATGCAGTATGACTTTAAAGAGAAAGGTCCATGCTCTCACAGTGGTTGATTACTTCCTTCTATGTCTACAGTGTTATTCATAGGAAAACAATTCTTTTTATGCCACAGTTTCCAAACCTGAATGTACTAAAGTACCTATAATGAATTATTCACTCTTAAAACTATCTGACAGGTTATCTCAATGCATTGTCATAGTATCTTCTTACCTACATGAAATTTCATGTTATTGTAGTTTACCAAGTCTCATTTGGTGATGGAAGTAGTAATGCTTTCTCAGTAGGTGTAACCAAAAACCTTCAGGTGGGTATTTGTTCAATAATCTGTGCACTGTTCTCAACAGAATACAATGACAGATTGAACCCATTTTTATATATCAAAAGAATGGACAGCTTGACTGATATTCCTTTGAAATTGAGGTGGTATCGATTGTAGGAATCAATAAGCTGCCAGAATATATATACATGAGAATATCCCCGAAGACAACATTAGCTCTCCTATTCCACCAGATCCTATAAGGAGTCCCAAATGACAGGGCTGTAAGTTATCATGTACACAATCCTTAAAGCATGGTCTTGCATTGAAATAGCTCACAAATTTTCATGTAACGTTTTCATGAGCAATGATTGGAAGGATGTTTGTTAAAAATAATATATGAGACAACTGTCACATTTGAGAAGGTACATACATATTGAGACAGATATCCCTCTGCAAAATTGACTCTTCGGTCTGGTGTTGGGAAGCCGCTGACAAACTCATCATGCCTTTGAAGTTGTTCCTCACTGAAAAATATATCTAAAATGAGTGTTTGTTGTTCAGAGTCCCACTCAGCAATATCAATACTATATTGTGTCTCAACAAGACCAAATAGTGTTTTGATATTATGAGCAAAGTTCTCACAGTCACAATGTATGATGTCATAAATTCATCCAGGGTCACAGAGATTTACCACCTGATCCATTGAGTCTCTGGTGTGACAAGCATAGGTTGCTAGGGACTAGTTCTAACACAGTATCCATTAAGTCTCCTGGTGTGATAAGCATAGGTTGCTAGGGACCTATGCTAGGGCCTATGTTTAGTACTGGCATGTCTCCTCGGTATTCAGCTGCACGAATGAATGTAGGCTCATTTGCAATTGATGTAATGATCCTGATGGTCACCTTATAGAGGTCAGCTGTTGCCCGAGAATGATGTTGTCTCCCCATTCCCCCAACATCTTCATCTTGATGATATAGTCTCTGAATTTTGGATAATGGTTTTTATCCACGAAGTCCTTGAACAGACGCTGCTTGCCCTAAAACATGTTCAGTTAGTGTGAGACTGAGAAATGTTACTGTTCTTCTTTCTTCTTATACTACATGTAATACACATAAAATGAAAAACAAAAAAACAACAAAAAACATGATTCAATGTTGTGTTGTATAGTCATCTAAGTTCAAAGCTAAAATGGTACAAAATCTCTACAAGTGACAAACCTCACATTGTCAGAAGATACCATTTTGCATGACCTCCATGGGGAAGTACTGGTACTTGCATCTTTATGTTAAATGCAACATGCATAGATAATGAATTGAAATTGTGCAATTCATCAGGTTCCATGAATTTGGTCAAGTGTTTTTATGTTTGCCCAAAATTGGAAAAAGTGAAAATTCAAGATGAGCTAATGAAAAAACAGTTTTCACTGGCTTGCTGTATAAGTGCATTTACCTTAAATGCAAAGTTTAGTCCCATTTCACCTCATCCCAATCTATATGCCTTTCAAAATTTACTTGAACCTATTTATTGGGGTAAACAAAAAGTATCAGAAATCATTCATACAGCCCAACTGAATATAAAGTCAGTGGTTTATACTGTAACCTAAAAGAGCCACTTTGCATAATAATTTTAGAGTTGCTCATTTAGAATGTGTATACAGCCTTTCTGTATAAAATTTCAGCCATCACATTTTTTAAATGCCTTTTAAGGTCCTGATAACACTTTATGAGGTCAAAAGTAAAACAAATTTTATAATGTAATATAAATGAGCTGAAACCTATTAGAACTGTACATGTACATATGTGGCAGATAAAAGTGAATATTCAGCTTATTTTACACACCTTATCTGACAACTGTCATGCAATTTTGAAACTTAAAATCTCAATATTAAGAGGTGTCTCATAATATATCCAAAACATTTGAAAGTAATATACCCTACTAAACAGGCTGACCTGAGGGATGTTTCCTTCATTGGGACAACCATTCGTTTATCTTGTTTTAAATAAAGAAGTTTCATCAATGTCAAGGGCATCACCAATAGAGCAAATTGTTATTGACATATTTAACATAAGATCCAAAATATGTGAGTACTTTTCAGAGACAATAATAACTAATACTATTCAGGCAAACCTTTGCTTCATAAGCTTTGAGGTTTCGTCTTGTAAGCCAAAATTTCAGTAACACAAAAAAAGATATGTGGAATTCATTACTGGATAAAAATTGAAATTCACCAAATCAAATGTACTGCCGTTATTGTAAAAAACATTCTTACTGCATATCAATGTTCATAATGATAACAAATATAAACTTTTTAAATCCATTGAGGTGTAATAATCTGAACAAACTTGCATGCCAAATTTTCAGCTGGTCCACTGATTTCTAAGAATAACATGATTCCAAACAAATAGGACATAGCTTCACCCCAATTAGGCTTTCACATTTTATTCACTATATCAAATTCCTACCCTAAGAAAATTGAAAGTATGCATTATTGTTTACTTACCTGCACATATTGCACAACCTTTTCTCGCAGATGTTTATGGCTGGTTATGTCAATGTCATGTATTTGAAGCTGTTGAGCCAATGCAATAAACATGCAGTTACCAGCCCCTTCATTGTCCACAATGTCAAGGTCATAGAATGAGGCCTCCATCTCCAGTTCTTTCATAGTTGGCGTCTTCTTGTGTCCTGCATAGACACATTATATAAGTAACACAAATTGTCCTGTAATATATCTCTTAGTATATTGTTTTTATGGAAACAACTGTAATGTTCTGCAATACATGTACTGATGTAGTATTTTTCAGCTGAGACAATGAACCATTTCAGATGTGCATGATAAACAGGAAGACATATGAGCAACTGACACAACATTATATGGCAAATTTGTGTACTCCTTCCAACAGATATAATTATGCATCTAGGATTGATCAGTCTTGTTGATCGTACCCATCTGTATTCAGATATTACCTTTTGTTTCTGCATTGTCTCTCCTCTTGGTTTGAGCCTGTTGTTCTCCCATTCCTTAAAAGTACAAACATACATCACCAAGTGCAAGCATACATCACCAAGTGCAAGCATACATCACCAAGTGCAAGCATACATCACCAAGTGCAAACATACATCACCAAGTGCAAGCATACATCACCAAGTGCAAGCATACATCACCAAGTGCAAGCATATACCTTCAGGATAAAGTAATGCTTTACATTCATTTTATTTTGAAAACATTTATTCCGTTGAAGTGTTCAATATGTGTAAATGTACTCTGAAAGGTGGAAAATTTGTACAAGTATTGATTACCCTTCTCATTGTGCATGCATGCATGCAAGTATTCATGCATATGCCTAATGTTCTGGAGACTAACTGTTCCAGAAGATTCCTATGAGGTGTCTCAAATTGTAATACCTTTTTCATCCTGTGTTTTTCCCCTTTTGATTGGCTTTCTACCCTCTTCTCTTGCATCTGGCAGAGCATCTGTTAGAAAAATATATGAAAATTATCACATTTATGCCTTCTTCTGCACATACCAACATATCACAGAGCGACCAATTTAACTGGTTAAGGAACTGAACTGAACTGAAAATCAACAAATGCTTCAACCATTGACTGCAGTTTGATTCCAGACCCTTGATCAGTTGTGTTTTGTATACCACCTAACCTCCTGTGTCAATGTTAGCTTTCGTTCCAAGAAGACAAACCAATGAATGTCCCTTGTAAGTAATGTATAATATCACAGGAAGTATCATATACCACATTAATCCTAAGATTTTAGTACAAATGACATAACAATTAATGACTACACCAAATTATTTCAATACCCTGCAAAGTCGTGAATTAGTAATGGCATGTAATTACATTTGCTATGATCCATATAATACTTTCAAAATTCTGAACCATAATTCCACAATAGCAAAAACATTAATTAATGTATGTTCCTGATTTTAAATATGATGTTGTTCTTTCTCTTTTAATTAACACTGCAGTATTAGCAACATCCACACTGTCTGGGTACCATGTCATAGAATAAACCAAGTTACCCGATCACCTGGTCAAATTAGTCACCTCAAGCATGTATTGCTGGAGACCTTTTTCAACCTGCAGTAGCAACATGAGTTGTATCATCTTTGATAACTGTTCTGCTTAGCTGTCCAACTTGGTATTTTCTTAGAAATGCAAAATATAAAAGTCTACCAAAGAAACTGAATAGCAGAATAACAGAACCTGCCTGATGTGTATATAAAGTTTCATGAAGAAATACGCAATGGTTTATGAATTGTGCTCTGGAAACAAACCCCACCCTCATTTGAACCAACTGTTTGCCATGAAAATGCAAATGAAGTATACACAGTAAAAAAAGTGTTGCACCCCCTATACTTTTTCATGGAGGGGTGTTTTGAAAGGGTGTAAAGATAACCGAATTAATATTATAACCAGGATTTCGTGTATACCAACAAACCAGTGTATTGTCTATACAATGAACTTAAATGGGGTATTCCATGACCTTATGGCATGTAATAATCTCATGCTGAACTTTTACGAAAAATGAACGAACAACGAAGACGCATTAAGTATGGTGACATCTCAATAATTTTTAGTGACCAAATTCATCCAATAGGGTAAGAATGTCATATGGAGATTTGACGAACACAGTAAGTCAATATCGAGAACTTCCACCAAGCACTTGGATCACAGCTTGAAGTCTTCGTCTCATACTCCTCACCAGACGTTGGAATCGCTCCATGGGCAGCTGCTGCCACTCCTCGTGTAATGCTGCTTCCAATTCACGCAAGTTCTGTGGAGGAGGGTCCCGACGATAAATCAGGCGTCCCAAAATGTCCCATACATGTTCCAGAGGATTCAGATCTGGACTCATTGCTGGCCATGGAATCTGCGTCAGAGCATTGTTGTGGATAACCTGGGTCACAGCTCGTGAACGATGTGGTCTGGCATTGTCATCCATGAATATCGGTCTGGTGGCCAGTGGATGATTGTCAAAATGGGGCACCACAACTGGATTCAGCACCTCTTGGATGTAGCGCTCCCCTGTCAAGTTGCCTCGTATGGTCACTAAATCAAGCTTACAATCAAATGCGAAGCATCCCCAGACCATAACAGATCCACCTCCATATGGTACAGTTGGCATGATGTTTCTTGCAGTATAAGCTGTTCCAGGACGCCTCCATACTCTCACTCTGCCATCCACAACATGCAGAAGGAACCTGCTTTCGTCCGACCAGTGGACTCTTCTCCAGGACCTCAAGTTCCAGTTCTGTCTCAGTCTACACCAGGCTAGACGTAGTCGTTTGTGGTTGTCTGTGAGTTTAGGTCGCTTGATAACCCTTCTGGACTTCAACCCTGCAGCTTTAAGACAATTTCTCACGGTCTGGGTACTGAACTGTTGACGAGGAAGCCAAAGACGTTTCAAGGTTGTGCTTGTAGCAAATGGATGACGGCTTACCACCCTCAACAACGCTCTGTCATCTCTAACTGTGGTCTTACGTGGTCTGCCAGAGGGTCTGCGATGCCTTACATCATTAGTTTGTGCGTGTTTTCTGACCAAACGGCTTATTGTTGAGTAGTGATGTCCGGTTCTTCTGCCAATCTCCTTGAACGAAAGACCTGCTCCATGTAGGCCAATAATCTGCCACTTGACTGCTTCTGACAATCGTCTACCCGGCATTGTGGGTTACAATAAACTGGGCTGTCAGAGAACATCTTTTATAGTCGATGTTGAGCTTAAGAAGATACTGCAATCTGCAAATGTCATGCACCATGCAATTCACGTGCTGATTGCTACGTTTTGGTGATCATCTTCCCTCCGAAAACATTACACATTTAACATCAGATCCCCAAGGAATACCTACCATTAAAACCAGAGTCGGGCGTTTTAAATGTTGTGATGTATCAAACGTATTAATGTGGGGGTGCAACACTTTTTTTACTGTGTATATTATAAACATTCCAGCATGGGAAAAGGCACCAATTGTGAGGGTCCATGAGGAAATATTGAATGCTCTTGATACAAAATGTGACAGATGGACCACTGATCTCGTTTCTGTATCTCCAACTGCACTTACTTTGGGTGGAGGAAATTATAAAAACAGCAAATACATTACAAACATCATGTCTTTGCAGTCCACCAAGATAGATGATGTCATCTATTCTGTAAGAACTATTTTATTTAAAATACATTATTAAACATACTTGCTAATTACATAATATTCATAAACTACTACTGGAAATATGTACCTTCATATGTCCTCATTCTTCTCCTCTTCTCTTCTTTTCTTGTCCGAGAAGTAATGTCACACACCTGCTCCCACTGCACATGCTTGTTCGGATAGGCAACCTTGAATTGGGAGTTCTGGGAATCTATTTCGACAATAGTTCCTTCCTTGCGTTTTTTCATCCCTTTTTTGGGCCCACCTCGTTTGACTCTGGTATCTTTTCCATGAACCCTCACCAGAACTTCATCCCCTATCTTGTACACTGATGTGTCCTTGTTTTCGTGGTGTTTTTGAATCATTTCTGATGATTTGGTCAGTGACGCCTGCAGCACATTTTTCCTGAGGTTTGTGATTGCTTCTATTCTCCCATTAATGCCATATTCGTCTCCAGTATCCTAAAGAATAATAAAGTTGTTGCGCAGTTGAACTGAATATTTAAGCGTGGTTTAACTTAAAATGAAAACTAATCTAAACTTTGTATGACTTACCTTTTTTTGAATGAACCCAGGAACTAAACGTGATAACCTATTATAAAACTATGAAGATCTATGAGGAACTAAACGTGATTACCTGTTATTATGTGAAAGAAAGATGAATCAACCTCAAATGAAAGAAACTAATGCTAATTCTAACAGTTACTCCTAAGGGAGTCTTAACACTGTCTAACACTGTCTAACGCCATGTCTAACGCCATCTGTCTAACTCCATCTCTCTAACCATCTAACCAACGAACTCTGGCCAACTTTCTAACCATCTAACTAACCATCTAACGAATGTTCTAACGAAACATTCTAGCGAACTATGACCAACTCTCTCTCTCTCTCTCTCTCTCTCTAACCATCTAACTAACGAATTCTGACCAAGTAACTAACTGATGCGAGCTACCGCCTTATATTTGCTCACAACCCTCACATTTCACGTGCAGTCACAGCCATACGTTGGTGTGTTCAGGCGATGCGATCGTTATGCATCGGGTGCGTTTTGGAGAACAGATTCTTTATTTAACACTAACACGAGTGCACGTGAAGCGCGATCTATAGGCTCCGGGTGCGTTTTGGAGCACACTTTTAATGAACGAACATGTCTTCAGAACAAAAGTATTACATTTACCATGCTTTTATATCCACATATCTAACATAAACGTCAAATAATATCACTTCCACTTCACATGTAGTTTTACCTCATATTCTAAACATATCATTACTTCTAATATCTTGCAATTGAAATAGTTCTATGTACATGTCTCTACTTGTCACATCTCCTGTCATTATTGCACAGGTTTACAGGACCCGATGACAGTTATTATCCCCTGCACCTACAAATTTGTCTTTTTATTTTGTATAAAGTTTTGAAATTTTGACTTAGTCTCTGAACTGAATGGAAGCAGTGGGGTTTACCAGAGCAGAACCCGAAAACTGTTCAAGATATCTTCATGAAACTTTGTACAATATCAGTCTATGGCTATTATAGAGTCTTTTTTCTTTAAAAAACTTCAAAATATGATTTATTTTCTTATTCTAATTAAATGACACACCAGTAGACACTGCAACAAAATCCATAAAAGCATTAATTGTAGATGTATTAGAAATTCACCAGGTTTTGAGGTGTCAGCATGATTACAACTTTTGTACCTTATCTGTACCGTGTACCTTACTCTGGTAACTACATGTACCTATAAAGGGCTGCAACAATACCTGCCTGAAAACAATGCTCTACAAAACCATGCATGATATCTAAATATTCTTAGCTTACTCAAACTTGAAGATGATTATAACCTTTGTTTATCATTAAAGTTTTACTAAGGCAGATGTACAAAGTTTATGGAGATGTTATATTAGCTCTTGTATTCAACCTCTTCTACAAGGAGGTGAGATAAACTGATAATTTACAATGTCACATTTGATTGCACATATCATTGTATTTAAAACTAGACAATGGGCGGGGTATATAGATGAGTTTGTCTCTTGATCTGCGTAATGACATAAATCCTCCATACCTCATCACTCTCTGCAGATAGTTCGCACTGCTCATCTTCTTCAGAGCAAGAGTATGCATCAACTGTATTCCCAGCTCTCAACAAATTCTTGAAGTGTACTGGAGGGCAGCCCAGCATGGCCTTGTATGGTGAACAACCTGTTAACATAGGAATTATGTTTAAATACAAGCCTGTGTTTCTCATGTCTTCTTCAACAATAAATGTCACAACTGCACTGTGGCAATATTGATATTTCCAGAGTTCTATAAATTTGCAGTAGCCTGAAGGGTGCATGCAACTATATTTTGGTCAATACCTGGTCAACTATGAAACTGTTGTACCTTCTGTAATGAGCCATCATCATTTAACTGTGTCATAATGGTTATTTGTTGGTCAGTGCGTAAAATAAATTCAATGTCACACATCCACATTTACCATGCTTACAGTCTGAAAAGTATATGCTTACATTATGTGCTTAAACTTTGTGACATATGCCCACATTAAATTAAAGCTATATATTCAAACTTTACCAAGTGCAGAATGAATGCTTTCATTGTGTATTCTAGCATATGCTGGCAACTTTTCCACCCAGTTGAAGCTTTCTCCATCACCATGTTTGCTGTGATCAAATTCCAGATGGCTTTTCCAATCCCGGTGTGATCGTTCACTCTGAAATAAATTAACATCTAAATAGTAAACAGATTAGGCAGGCACAAAAAGTGTGCACAAGTGTTATACCATGTATATGAAATATATGAAATATATAACAAAAACAGTTTCCATAATCATAAGAAGCCTCTTCTAAAAGCTGGGTGCACTTAATGATTCCATCAATATCATAAGCATGTGTTATGAATCAACATAAAATAGTGATAGTAGCAGGTGTTCACGAAGGTTAGTGTATCCTGCCCCATCGGTGTCATCTGTCACACACATGCAAGTGTGGCTCTGCCCTAAAGATGACATGTTCCAAATAACATCAACATTAATGTTCTTACTATTAAGTATCTACATCTATTACCTCAACGTTTATAGTGCGCATGTTTTGATTGAAATTTGTCACCCACCTTTCCCTGAGATTGGGGATGGTGAGCCCGACTTCGGACAATCTTCGTTCCCATTTCAATGCAGAGTTGGTTGACTGCTCCCTTAAACTCGGAGCCTTGATCGCATTGTAAGATTCTTGGATTTGCCCATCCATACTCAAAGTAGATTTTGTGGAGTTCCAATGCCACCGAACAGGCTCTTTTGTTGGAAAGAGGCCGAAGCCACAAGAATCTTGTGAAAACATCAATAACAGACAAGATGTAAATGAATGTTTCACCATCATTTTCTGCAGGCATTCCAGTTAGTCCCACAAGGTCAACCTGATGTCGCCCCATTGGTGTTCTTGAAATCACCGGTTTTAGTTTGGCAGCATTAACAAATTTAGGATGTAACAGTTGCCTGTCATCTTGCCTGTCTATAAAGTCTTGTATGGCTTCCTGAGAAATGCCAGCATAATACTGGTTTATCAATGTTCTTATTTTCTTTGCTCCAGAACCCCGCAACTCAGTGTAAAATTTGCAGATGACATTATCAAGTTCTGACTTTGATATCACTATTTTCCTGTCCCCATCAATAATCTCCAATCTATATTCTCCTTGGACAGGGTTGTGAATTTCTGTCAAAGATAAATTGAACTTCCGTATTTTCTGGCAGACATGGTAAAACTTGACAGTCTTGCTATCCTTGGGAATGTCACCTCCTTCAAGTTTTAATCTAAGGCAGTCGTAATTCTCCTTTGAAATCACACCAATACTTCTTTTTCTTGAACATTTTACCTGAAATGCATTAAAAGCAAACCTATTACATCATGTTCAACTGTATGTCATACATGATGTCCATAATCATATTTACCAGGCTTTTCTTTCATATTACTAAATTTATTGAATATGTGCATTAGTCATCCTACAAAAACACATTACCAAAGATACAGAAACTCACCCTCATTGGGCAATGTACATGTCACATGTTAGGCTGAGCCAGAGAAGAGAAATAGTACATGATTTGTTCAAAACACATACTGTAATTCCCAATAAGTACTCGAGTGTTCATTGAAATTTTGTGATAACATTCTTCTACATGTCCTCATATTTGGTTGCTGATGCTTACAAAAGAATGATGACTAACAATCTATTTTCCACAATCATATTTCTAGGATTCAAGGAAAATTCAAATAAACAGACACTCAGAACTATTTCTTTCTTATTGATTGTGAATGTGGTACATGGTGCTAGTCTTAAAATAAACTGCATATAGAGTAACTGTTTTCATAATGACTGCCATATCAGCCTTTCAAATCACAAGATTCACTGAAATGTGTTCATATTGTAATATATATGGTAAATAAAGCCAAAGACAATCAGGCAATGTAAACATGTAAACCTTAATTCTATGCATTATTTCAGTTTTTCAGAATACCAGGTTATCCTAAAGATTGTAAAGAAAGAAAGGAAAACCTTCCCATAATCACATCTTGGAAAAGAACTTTTCAAAATGTTTACTACTTGCAGAAATGGCCCCTATTTTAGTGTCAAGTATTCATACTTAAAACACTAGATTACGGTATACAGAACTGTAATGGAATGTCATGCTCACTATAAAAAGTACACATCATAGGCTCATGGTAATGGGAAAATCATAAAAATTAACAAGTTATTTAGCATATGTTGTAGAAGTAGAAGGACCCTCAATATACAAGAACAGATTGTCATGTAGGGAAATGTCTGAGTAGGGAAATGTCTGAGTAGGGAAATGTCTGAGTAGGGAAATGTCAGTGTTGGGAACTGTCTGTGTGGGGAAATGTCCATGTGGTTTGTAGCTAATTACATGCAGAATGTGTTATATAGATCAGTAGCAGACACACAGCCTAACCCCAGGGTGAGCTAATGATTATCTTCTAAGATTCCTCTTTAGTTTGTGTCTTTATTTGGGTATACATACCCACAGTATGGTATAATGGACAGATTGTCACACCATGAAGTTATCACCACATCATACAAAGGCTAAGCAATATTACTTCAGAAAAATAGATGAACATGAGATGTATGAGTACCTGTTCTGTTCTAATGATTATTGAACAAACTAATTATACCATTCTTAACAAACATAACAAGATGTCATCATGACACAATAGTTCAACTATTGCCGAATTTTAAATATTGCTGTGTATGAAGTAGTTACATGAAACAATTAAGTTATCACTTTTCTTCAGACTAAGAAATAAAGGCCTGGTTCCACCATGCACTTTGCATTACTTGTTTTAGTTACATTGCATGTCAGTTCTAATAATATTGAACAAACAAACCGGTGGGAACTGAAGTAAATGATGTACTGACAGTAATCATTACAAGGCCTTACAAAATGGAAAGGAATATATGTTATTCTGGACCTACAAATCCTATCTTACAATAATGACCAAAACATTAGATATCTAATGTAAGTAGAACTTGTAAACATAAGTACCTAATCAAATTAACTTTGATCTAAACAAAGAGTTAAAAAAAGTAACATATACATATCATTGTATGAATTCATAGTGTTGGTACTTACTCTTGCCATTGGTTGGGATGTACTGGACTCTGTCTGTTTCCTCAAATCATCCAACATTCTGACAGGTATTCAGGAATCTCATCTGCAAACAAATGATACTACATGAAACTAGTTTTCCTAAATTGTTGACAATTGTTGAATATGTGTGCTTTGTGTTTTTTGCCCAGACCCAGGGAGAACATTTGTAATGTGATCGCCATTTAACAGTTGCTGGGGTCCCCATCCTGCCATACTGTCTCTGGCAGTACCTCTCTTCAGTGTGGAAATATCAGTATGAAGTATACAAGTCTTATGAATATTGGTTTTTACAATCTGCCAGCTCTCTGTATTAATGAGATCAAAAGCATGCTGTGTATTGAATGAAAGAACACATTGCCCCCATTGCACCATACAAACATAAAGGGGTGGAAATATACAGGTATCTGTGTGAGAAGGAGGTAGAGGACCTTAATTATCAATGGGTAATTTATAATGGGATTGAGGTTAGGACCATATTTAGATGAGCCCCTCCCCCCCCCCCCAACCACACACACACACACATTTTATGTGCATTTATTATGTCCCCAATATATACAGATTGCATTTTCATTGACATTTATAACATATAACAAATGAAATATTTAACCTTTTTATTCAAAATAATACAGAACCATGTCATTTATGTTGTACGTACCCACTCCCCCAAATATACTTGTGATAAATTTTGGTGACCCCCTACATGTTGTCATTAAAACGCCCCTCCCCAACCCCATCCTTTATTTGCTGTGTAATTTCTTCATGATCACCCCCCAATAAATATATAAATTACCAGTCCTTATGATATTCTACAATATTCTGCAATGGCATGCAAGATATAAGTCGTGTTTTTAATTACATTTTTAAATCTAAATATATTTGAACCAAGTCTGTCAGGATTTGACAAAATTGGTAAATAGTGAAAAGGAAGTAACTTTTTCATGTGTCATATTCACAAATGCATTTATAATGGCATTTATTTATTTTTCAAATTTAAAGTTTATTTCTATTTCTACATTTACCCTGTAGTTTTGAATATAAGAATTTAGAGAAACCACACGAAATAAGGCATAATATATTCATGTAAAGATAAAAAGATACTTTCCACAATAATTAACATGAAAAAGTTATTTCATAATTTCTAGTTCTGAGTGAGTAATTAGCATGTAATGTTATGCTTAATGTTAACTGCCTCACAATTAAGTTCTCTACTAGGAAGTCATTCTTGGTGCAGACACTTAGCATACTACTACACAATGTGTTTCACCCAATACTGACAGAACATAATAGCACAGGAAACAGGTATTCCAGGTTGGGTATCAAGCAGGCTATGCTGGTCATGTGACTTTATTTCTGTAACTTTCTTTCCTGTAACATTTCTTCCTACAATCAGGGTAAGATCCAATAATACCTCCACTGACAAATACAGGTTATGATAGGGTGGGGGGTGTACACGAAGTACGAAATCAGACTACCAGTTGTTGGACTTTCATTTTGTGGAAGACTCAGTGGGTTAGATCGCTGACTCTGTGCTTGCGATAAGGTGGCTCACTCTGGGTGTAATACTCTGCAAAAATTTTCACCAGACTACATGCATAAAAGATGTACATGCACAATTAATAAAAAAATCAATCTGTCGGAGAAATTGGGACAAAGAAACATCATACACAAGAGAATTGAACCCCCCTCTATCTAAACCAGTGGATGGATTGTAAAAGAGTAGGGGATCCATTCTAATATGTGGTTGATGTCAGCCTCTGCTACACTGCCAACTTTGATATTAATAGAGCCAAGGTTCAACCACACAGATAAAGCAAATGGAGCATGTCTTTCAGATATAAAGGTTGCTCTATCCTCATATATAGTTTAATAAAGTATAGTTTAACCTGAACCATTATAAGGCACAAGGACAATTGCGTTTAATATCCATTCAGTCTCCAGTAAACACAGAAATAACTAACATTAAAACTTTTAGTTTTAATATTAATTTCCTTCGATTTAATTACATCACATGGAGAACTAAACAAAGACATGTACAATGACTGTCCAGCTTGATGCTGCCCATTTTTTCTGAAATGGGAGAGAGAGTGAATGAAATTTTTCAGTCTAGATGGGGTTTTGCATGGTCAAAGGGATCAGGAGGGGCCTATGCAACAGCCCATGACTGCCTGGGGGGTCCAGGGAGGGGCCACCCCATCACTGTAGACTTAAGACTTTCAGCAGGTTTAAGGGCTCCTACAGCTGCCCTTAGACCTGCTGAAAGTCTTAAGTCTACACAAGCTCTTTAAAAAAAGACAGAGAGAAAAAGAAGGTGGATTTGATTTTTGACCAGTTTCCTAGGGTGCCTTGGGCTGTTTGAAGCTCACCTGGCAAGCTGGAAGAACCTCTGAGGTGTACACTGGCTGTTGTCTTGACGCGTCGAGGAAGCCACCCATTTTTTCTGAAATGGGAGAGAGAGTGAATGAAATTTTTCAGCCAAGATGGGGTTTTGCATGGTCAAAGGGATCAGGAGGGGCCTATGCAACAGCCCATGACTGCCTGGGGGTCCAGGGAGGGGCCACCCCATCATTGTAGACTTAAGACTTTCAGCAGGTTTAAGGGCTCCTATAGCTGCCCTTAAACCTGCTGAAAGTCTTAAGTCTACACAAGCTCTTTAAAAAAAGACAGAGAGAAAAAGAAGGTGGATTTGATTTTTGACCAGTTTCCTAGGGTGCCTTGGGCTGTTTGAAGCTCACCTGGCAAGCTGGAAGAACCTCTGAGGTGTACACTGGCTGTTGTCTTGACGCGTCGAGGAAGCCACCCATTTTTTCTGAAATGGGAGAGAGAGTGAATGAAATTTTTCAGCCAAGATGGGGTTTTGCATGGTCAAAGGGATCAGGAGGGGCCTATGCAACAGCCCATGACTGCCTGGGGGGTCCAGGGAGGGGCCACCCCATCATTGTAGACTTAAGACTTTCAGCAGGTTTAAGGGTTTCCGTTGATACACCAAGGAAGCCACAATTTTTTCTCTGAAATGGGAGAGAGAGTGAATGTCATAATAACAATATAGATGAAAAAATTGCACCTTTACAAAAATAGTAGTCTTGACTGGGACTAAACTTATGTCAAAGCATTTCAAGTTACTTGAGACTTAGAAAGTTCCAGTAAAGACTTCTGCAGTGATTAATACCAACAAATCTGTTTTTATTTCTGATGAAACTGTCAGATCATGATCAATGCGGATATGTCTATTTTTCCTGGGTTTTTTTAATTTCATGTTGTTCATACTTTTCGACAGATCTTCCATCTTGAGTAACATTAAACTGCATGTGCTCATATCTAATTAGATCCAATTAGATGCTCATCTATTATTATCTGGAATAATGGAAAATATCATCACTGATCATGTATTTTATCTAATTTTATTATTTGCCAAATGGTTATTCATAGATGTATATTGAATTTGAAAAATAAATTCCAAACAGATTTTATACAAATAGGGCATCATATCATATATTTTTTGTTTGGAGATTAAAGTTGTGTCACTTTAATACATGGAATTGAATTTCATACTTTTTACTTCATTTTCTGTTCAGAATCTGTTCATATGGTTATTTTTATCCAGAAAGAAGATTGCACATTCCTGAACCTCTGTCTCTCAGACACATTAGAATAAATGGAGAAAGGGAGCCAACTCAAGTCTAGAATGATTTGGCAAGTCCTAATTGCCTGAGCCATGGGCCTGATTAATAAACATTGTTCTAGGCACCATTTGGATTTTATTTTATATATTTATATCACAAGCATGATAACTCTTGTTCTGGGACACCATGTGAATCTACTCCCTGGAATCTTTTCAGGGTTTCGGATATTAAAAATATATAGTTGCATCTTGTAGTTGACCAACTTTTGCCACACGCAGAGATTGCTTTGCTCTTGAATATAACAAGTAGAGAAAGGTATATTGTATAAGTATGGAGCATGATGACAAGAGGTTTTTAATGTGTTGGATCTGCAAGTAATAGCAAAGACATGTCAATGTTTCGATCAGGGCTTATGTGCACCACCGAATGTTTCGGAGTGAGGCGAGTTGGGTTGACTCAGTAATTCTCGGAACTTTCGATCTGTCCGAAGTCGAGCCTCGCAAATATAGTCCAGCACAATATTCAAAGACACATAAACTACATGTTATATACCTGATGTAGAGATTGTGAGGGAAACATCGTATCGCGCAATGACAGCCGAGACAGCGATGCGTTCGTTAGACATCAACAGCTTTGAGGAAGATAGTGTCACGTGCATACACAAGCCACGCCCACTCATGAATATTGTAGACTTAAGACCATTGTAGGTTTAAGGGCACAACATACGTACGAAATAGCTTGAAATTCCGGGTACGTTGTCAATAATCTGACAAAAAGTACTCCTCTCAATATTTGTTATGCAAATTCAGATAATCTGATGATGGGAGACATATCTTAATTCACATGGCCCCCAAACACCATCTGAAAAAGATTGTTCTTAATTTTCGTTGCATTAGTATTTCTTAATCGTTTACTCCTAGAGTTTTTAGTTAATATTGTCTCTATTCCACGTGTAGCCTAGTCAGGGTGAGTGAGAATGTGTGAGTGAGAGTGTGTGTGTGAGTGTGTGTGTGTGAGAGTGTGAGTGTGAGTGTGTGTGTGTGAGAGAGAGAGAGAGTGTGTGTGTGTGTGTGTGTGTGAGTGTGTGTGTGTGTGTGAATGTGAGTGTGTGAATGTGAGTGGGTGTGTGGGTGTGAATGTGAGTGTTTCTTCAACATGGTCATGTAATATATCATATGAAAACTTTTTAACATTGTCTTTTCAATTGATGTACCTTATTCACTGATTTCTGTGGTAATCTTATCCCCCACTAATACAACAAATGATATATCGAAAGATAATTTCTCTAGCAACACCCACCAACCTCCAAAGTCGTATTTACAATGTGAAATAATGTCATCTCAGTGCTGGCATTCGTTTCTGGGTCATTGGGATGGGTTCTATGACATCCTCAGTAGACGACCACCCATACTCCTCTGGTGGTGGAATGTCAGCCTCTCCTTTGTGTGCAGAACACCATGTGATGCACTGGTGCTGACATCTGAGTAGAGGTTTTGTGGTGGGAGTTCCTCTAGGTCTCCAACTCTGTGGAACATGTCAGCTGTAAGTGTATTAATGCTAGTTGCAGTCGATGCTGGATTGTACATGTTGATGACAAATGTTTCTGTCTTTTTCATGTTGAAGGCACCAGTTTCTTCTATTGGTTGCAACAAATATGGTTGTGTGATAAATATGTTCCAGGTCCACAACCTGTGACCGCATGGAATGATGGTAGAGCTGCTACAACACCTGAGAGAATGAGAGATTGATGTACGTCATCAACTTGTATGAATAGAGGGCCCTTTGCGGTACCTGCACCCATCTATATCTGAGCAGAAAACCGATGTTTATGATGATCAACGGTACTAACACATCAGTGTCTCGGTTGTGAATGACAATGTGGTCGTATCCATTGCAGGAGGCAACCATGACATGCATCATTATTCGTGTATCTGCCTCGTCATGTGTTTATAGTAGATTTGGTATTGCTGTAGATTGATCTAAGGAAGATATTACATCATCATGGTATGAATCGAGGTGACAAACTTTTGTCAGAGTTCATTGACAATCAATTGGCGGATAATGCTAAGAGTATTCATGACAAAATATCAGAAAATATGTCCAACAGTACATGTTCCGCACTGTACACCATGCAGGTATCAATAGAAGTCAACTCAAACCAATACCTTTAAGCAAGGAAGAAATCTTTTCAGAAGGTTGCTGAGTGCCACCCACAGTGGAAGAGAAGTAAACGTACCACATCTTCTAACACGAGCTGTCCCAGACCCCACCTTCCCTGGCAACAACAGATGGCCTACTTTGTACAACAAAGCTGCATTATCACATTTGCTTGCAGATTCTCATGCTACCATCAACTGATGACTCAACAAGCATTGTTGTTTCTGGCATGGCTCTTGTACAGGCTATAGGCAAACCAAGCAAATCTAGGACCTTTGGAAATTTGGCTGATGATTTCAATTGAAATGTGCTGAAGTACTTAAGTGAAACTTGTACTTTAGTCGATGATGTCTTTGACAAATATGTTGCAAAGTCAGTAAAATCTGCAACTCGGACAAAAAGAGGTGATCGATCAAAGAAAATTCGAAGAATAATAGATAAATGAGACATCCTTCTGCTGACTTCATTGTCCAGTTTTATTGAAATGAACAAGCAAAATTTGATACAATTCTTGACCACAGAATTGCACACACAGGCACAGCATCTCCATCATAATCATCAAATCATCATTATTGCAGGTGGATTAAGCAGCCCAGATACAGCAGTATCTTCCATAGATTAATCTGAAGCAATGCCAAATCTACTGTCAACACATAAAACGGCTGATACACGAATGGTGATCAATTTCATGGATGGCTCCTGCAATGGATACGACCACAGTGTCATTCACAGTCGAGACACTGATGTGTTAGTGCAGTTGATACATCATAAACATCGGTTTTCTGCTCAGATATGAATGGGTGCATAGCAGTTGATGATGTACATCACCCTCTTATTCTCTCAGATGTTGTAGCAGCTCTACCATCATTCCATGCGGTCACAGGTTGTGGACCTGGAACATATTTATCACACAACCATATTTGTTGCAACCAATAGAAGAAACTGGTGCCTTCAACATGAAAAAGACAGAAACATTTGTCATCAACATGTACAATCCAGCATCGACTGCAACTAGCATTAATACACTTACAGCTGACATGTTCCACAGAGTTGGAGACCTAGAGGAACTCCCACCACAAAACCTCTACTCAGATGTCAGCACCAGTGCATCACATGGTGTTCTGCACACAAAGGAGAGGCTGACATTCCACCACCAGAAGAGTATGGGTGGTCGTCTACTGAGGATGTCATAGAACCCATCCCAATGACCCAGGAATGAATGCCAGCACTGTGTCTAGAATTGCTCACCTGTAAATGCACAACAGGCAGATGCTCCTCATCCAGGTGAAGCTGCGCCAAGAACATCATGGGATGTTCCCTTGGATGCAATTGTGGTATGTCATGCCTAAACAGAAACAACTTACCTACCTCTCCAGATGACACAGACTCTGACGGTGACTAGAGATGACATTATTTCACATTGTAAATACGACTTTGGAGGTTGGTGGGTGTTGCTAGAGAAATTATCTTTCGATATATCATTTGTTGTATTAGTGGGGTATAAGATTACCACAGAAGTTAGTGAATAAGGTACATCATTGAAAAGACAATGTAAAAAAGTTTTCATATGATATATTACATGACCATGTTGAAGAACTAAAGTGCAGTATATCTACAATTTTGAGTGAAAATATGTCCATTTTAATGTAAATCTAAATTTGAGTATGGGTTAAAGTCACGAGAGAAATTTGATTTTAATATTTCCTTTTTTCATTGTTGGTTGTCAATTTACCACAGGAGTCAGTGAATAATGTATATCATTGAAAAGACAATGTAAAAGGCTTTCATAGGATATATTACATGACCATGTTGAAGAACTTTATAAGATCTTGATTTTGAAAACAGGTCAAAATGGCGGCCATCTTGAAATTCAAGATGGCCACCACAAATGCTCACAGAAAAACTTGAAACATCTTTTTTCTTTATGAGTTTACTATTTTGGTGTTTTTAAGCATTGTTGCAATTATCCCACCCATCCACTACAGCAACATCATCTACCACCATATCTCAATAAGCAATTTTCGTCAAAATTGGTTTTTGGGGGGTGGGGTAACATTGTATACAATATCTGAACCCCAATGTAATATACTTTCATTTTGTTTTTTGTATGGGATAGTACAATGGTTAAGGCAGATTTTAATACCCAGTTATAGTGGTTTTATTGTCACAATTCAATGGAATTAGTGTTTACCTACTCACAAGATTTGAAAATGAAGTAAAAAAACATAATTTTTACCAATGTTTCCACTGAGAATTAGAATAACAGTAAAATGAAACAAAATGTGTGCCAAATTCAGAATACCGAACATATAACCTGTAATCAAAGACATAATTTGGATAGTTTAATGACTTAATAAAAATGTTACAGCCATGTTTGTCAAATTATGCATTTTTCCTTCAATTTATGCAATTTTGACGCCCTGAAAATTCCTGCACACACTTGCAAGCTTACTACCCAATGAAAATTGTGTACAGATACCTCATTTATGCAATAGAAAAGGTTTAAGGTATACAGGAAAATGTGGGAACGAAAATCTTGTTTGTCACCCCTGGCCAACTGACTACAAGGCAAAGTACTGTACAGGATCGTTCATATAGATGTTCTGACTGTAGTCTAACCGTTGTCCAAACTTGCCCTAGAGCGAATTCAGTTGCATCTTGGCAATCGTGCGACGTCCTGGATTTTTTTCGATGCGATCCTTGTCCAGCCCAATGCCTTCTTTGTCATAGATTTCCTGGATGTAAGTGTCGTGATCCGTACATCCCTCAGGGTATCCGCTGGCTTCGAGCTTCTCCTTGAAATGCCGATCAATATAAGTGTCAAAGAGTCTCACTTGCTGGGTATCGGAGTCCTGCTGTGCAAAGGTGTCAAAATGCCAAACGTCGTAGATCTGAAGCACCTGGTAGTCATACTTCTTCACGGCTTCCTGGAGTTCTATGGTGGCGTACCCACCCATGACCTCTCTTCGTCCGTGTGCTTGCAGGGGGAGTCTGACCGGGTATCGGCACACGTACGGCACAAAGGACAGAGCAGTTTGCCTCCCGATCTGTAAGGCAGTAGCAGATGGTAGAGTCGTTTCGGGGGTAGGACACAGCATTGGATCAGTCCTTTCAGTTCAAACAACGTGACATCAGGGGGTTGATGGAGAAGGGTCGGGTGTCCCGTGGGAAATGCTCCGGTCTTACAAATGTATGGATAAAGGGAACAAATATCGATGTATTTGATGGTTTCACCTTCTTGGGCTTCATAGCATAATCGCGTGGCATTGGTGCGTCCTCCATAGAAGGCGTCGCGAGGGTTGAGCGGCCCAGGGACGTGGAAACAGTGGGGCCCCTGCAAGAAAGCACGCAGAGCAGAGTCCTCCTGTTGAATTTTTGTAAACTCATGCTCCCACAGGGTGACGATTCGTTTCACCTCAGGGTGTTGACTCAAGAGACTCAGGCGGTAGCGGGTGTCGGTATAACGGGCTCCCAACGACGTGGCCAGGACGGGGTGCGGTTCTCCACGCTCAGTCTTGTGACAGGCCTGGCACCCATGCCAGAAACAGCCCAGGAATTCGTAGATGGTGCCTGTCGCTGGATCGTAGCCATCCACACTGTACCGATGTTGACCCTCTCCACACGTGAACTCTTTTTCACCTCAATTCCTGGCGTGCTGGAGGTGCAGATGGGGGTCCGTTTCCATCATATAATTCAGCCAGTGCATACAGGCTTGGGAATAGTTTCTCTTGGGTTGGTAGCCTTGAGGTGGAAGAATGGCGATAGTACTGGGTTTCAGGTTGTGTTTTCGGAAGGATTTCATGGTGAACGCAGTGGCTGTCATCACTTCTACAAAGGGATCCATGCCAACCGAATTGATGGCGTTCTGTCGGAAGTCAGCGCATCCCCGTCTCAAAATGTCCACATCGCTTTGGCAGTAGGTTAAAAGTTCTCCTTGTAAGTCGAACAAGGCTCCTTCTTGCACTTTTTGGGTATGCCACTGGAGGAAGGCTGTGCGTTCCGCGGGAGACATGCCATCGGTATCGTACATGACGGCCGGTGGATAGGGACCTCTGTAGGTCTGGTTGGATTCGGTATTGAAAAAGTGTGGAAAGTACCCTTTCTTCAGTTCTTTCAGGCCAAAGCTTTTTGGAAAGGCTTTCAGGGGGTAAGGTATGAAATTTAAGCTGTCTTCGAAACACAACCGTCACAGGGTCATCTGCAAAATTTGTTGACCATGTCGAATCTTGGTGGGGAGTTTCACCAGGAGGGGGGACAGACCCTTCAGGATCAAGTGTAAATTATAGGATCGTGCATTGTGGGCCATCACATAAATGCGATCCTCCTTCTCCACTGTCGTGGTAGTGGTGGTGTTCTTGTTCTTTGGCTTCTTTGTCTTTTTTGTCTTGACATCTTCCCCCTCCACCTCTTCCACCTCCTCCTGCTGGGGTGATAAATGTCGTTGACGTTTTGAAGAGTGCTTTCTTGAGGGGTTCCATCCCGTTTTTTTTCCCCAGGTGTGCTGTTGTCCCCTTGCGTGTGCTGCCCTCCAATTCCTCTTGGTTCTTCTTCTTCTTGGGTATTTCAGCCAGCGTGGTCAACCACACACACACATCATGTCGCGTGGTGGGGCCTTGAAACACGATCTCACGGCTGGGACCATACCCTTCCTCTCTCCATGGACAGTGTTTGCACAAGTCCTTGCTCACTTCACTGATGCACCGTCCACATCCTAGCTGCATCATGCACAAATTTAGAATGTGTTCCCCCGTGTCTTGCATACATTCAAAATCATAGAACACGTATTGCACGTTGTCTCGTATGTGATGTTGTTCCTCTTCCCCCTCTTCCTCCTCCTCCCCCTCTTTCTCCTCCTCATTTTCTTCACGGAAGGGCGTCATGTAACAGCGATGGTCTGGGGTCATGGGTTCTCGGCACACCAAGCAGGGATGTTTTCATCTGAGCACTTGTGGTGTACCATTGGGGTCTCCAAGACGTGGACCAGCTGAAAACAGGTCCGACACCTGTGAATTGATTGACAGGCACTGGGTTTTCCCTCTGACGGCGACTGGAAATGTTGGGTGTAACAGTGTTGATTTGGGAACCAACGTTGACATGTCAAGCAAGGGATCCCGTGCTCTTCCTTGGGTCCGCAATAGCTAGAGTGGAGGCAGCGGTATTGCTTGGTGCAGGGATGTTTTTGGGATGGTCGTAGCGTTGGTCGCAGCATTCGCAGTAATGGTTAGACGCATAAAAAGCTGATATTGAAGTGATGACATCGTAGTGCTGATCATGATGGTATAAATGCAGCACGGTGGCGTGGGGTGGAGCCTCATCACACTTGTACAACAGTCTCTGGTCCACCTCTTGACTGTAGACTTTCAGTTCATAATTCAGGGGGGCCAAGGCGCGTCCCACGCCTGCGAGGTCATCCAGGCCCTGACAGGGACCTCCAGGCAGGCAAGGCCTCGAAACATGTCCCGTGCCCGTATGCCTTGAACGTCGACGCGATCCGTTCTCGTCAGTCTCTTTCGCTGGGTTTCCCATTCTTGGGTCAGAGGGTGGGGCTTCTGGGCATAATGCTGTGCCACCACCAGGGCCCGTGCCAAACAGGATTGATCTTCGTTCTTGATCCGTACAATACCCCTTTTGTGTGTTAAAAAGGTTTTGAGTCCAATGACGTTTTTCAGATGGAGGCCTGTCGGGATCTGCGACGTGTACTAAAGTCACAACCATGGTGGCATCGATGTTCAGGGCTTTGTTGGACTGTTGGACTTTTTCCACGGCATGCAAAATATCTAACCCATGGAGATCTTCAAAGCGACGAAAGGGAATCCGTATGGGGGTGTTCAAAGCGGGATGATCGATACCTAGGCCAATAGGATCTCCCTTCTGGCCTGACATCTGCTGATAAAAGTCATCGATCACTCTGTCAAATAATGCCGGCAGTTCCATATGAACGCGGTCCAGTGGTATGGTGTCCAAGTAGTCTGGGTTGAAAGTCAAACGATAGGTGTGGTTAGCAGTTCTTAACCGTCTGGAGCGGGTGGTATCTTTCCTCTCCAAACGATAGGGCGTACTTTGGTTGCTTGTCATGATAGCGGTGCATGGCTGATGAACGTCTGTACTACGAGCTGAACTGAACGTCTGATTTATGGACAACCCTTCCTCCCTTGCTGAGGATGAGATGTCACCACTCAGTAGCACGCCATCACCCTATTATCTACGTTTTGAAAGAAGGCTCTCTTCGTTTGAGACGTGGCCAACGCAAATGAATCAGTGCACTGACTGAACCCCAGAAAGTAGCACCGAAGAAGACGATAAAGAAGACCCAGAAGAAAAAAACAAGCAAACCAGCAGCAGCAGCAGCCTGACATCTGCTGATAAAAGTCATCGATCACTCTGTCAAATAATGCCGGCAGTTCCATGGGAACCCGGTCCAGTGGTATGGTGTCCAAGTAGTCTGGGTTGAAAGTCAAACGATAGGTGTGGTTAGCAGTTCTTAACCGTCTGGAGCGGGTGGTATCTTTCCTCTCCAAACGATAGGGCGTACTTTGGTTGCTCGTCATGATAGCGGTGCGTGGCTGATGAACGTCTGTTCTACGAGATGAACTGAACGTCTGATTTATGGATAACCCTTCCTCAAAACAGGATCGAAATCTGACCAGTCCGAAGCCTGGGTTGTCAACCACTCATAAGACAGCACCGGCCAATCAGAAGACAGCACCCGAGTCGAGTTGTGCTTTCCCTCCCATGGTAAAATCCATTTCCTATGAAAAAGAAACACAAGGGTCGGGTCGTTTTGGAAAACCGAGGTGCGGGCCAGGCACTGGAATGGACCAATCATTGCGCTGCGTTTTGGACCAACCAGGAAGCAGTGATTTTCGATCCGGTTCTTCCCCTATAAAACAAGAGAAAAACCATTCGAGTGGATCAGTGTCACTTGTAAAATTTATTTTAAATATCAAGAATGGCTGAGACAAAGAAAAGTTCTACGACGACACGTGATGGAGATGTGGTGACGGATAGTGCAAATACTTGTGGATGTTGGAGTAAGAGTATGGATGCTGAAGATGAGATGTCACCACTCAGTAGCACGCCATCACCCTATTATCTACGGTTTGAAAGAAGGCTCTCTTCGTTTGAGACGTGGCCAACGCAAATGAATCAGACTGCTGAAGAGATGGCCGATGCAGGCTTTGTCTACACAGGGGGTGCCGATGGCGTGTACTGTTTCCAATGTGGCGTGCGGCTGAGACGATGGGGGTCCCCTGACGATCCTTGGGTGGAACACCACAAGTGGTCCCCGAACTGTGACTACCTCAGACTAACCGGCCTGGTGAAACACAAGAAGAATGTGAATCAGAGGAACACGAATGGCGTAGCACGGCCGGATGCCTAGGAGGACGTTTCCCGTTTCCTGTGTTCCTGTGTTCCTGGTATACCCAGATGATAGCAAGTACCGCTTCGACGATCCTTGTCTTGTCATAAGTTTGGACATGATGATTTTTCTTGGACAGCAGCAGAAAAGTTTTTCTTTCCCAAAACGGCCCTTTTCAGGGCCACCCATCTCACCCAAAAGACAACTTTCATCCTTTGCTTTGCCAACCCAACGCCTATGCGTGACACCACATAAAATATATCTATATATAAATATATAAATATATAAATATATAAATATATAAATAGAGACACGTAGTACACTGCGTGTACATGGAGACACGAGTCAATCATCACGTGTGCATGAAAACACATGTCGCAGTACGTCTGTAGACATACACGGGTGTCAACACCTCGGTGTCATGAAACATAATAATAATAATAATGATGATAATATGGATCAACGTCTGTTTGAGAGACACACACACACACACACATGACACTACGTTTGCATGAAGACACGGATGAAACACGACGTTCACATCGCGACACGCAGTACATCACGTGTGCAAACGTCACGTATGTGTATCGATCTTTCTCTATCCATCTAAATACTACATAAATGGTTGTAGTCACACACACACACACATACACAGGACACCACGTTTTGCCTGGCAACACGAATGATAGTACACCTGTCAACCTACACGAGTGCCCAATCAGAAGCCTGGGTTATCGACCAATCAGAGGCCGCGCTCGGACCATGCTGGGCTCTGATTGGTGGAAAAGGGGTTGTGCTTTCTTTCCCATGGTAAAATTCATTTCCTATGGAAAAGAAACACAGGGGTCGGTCCGTTTTGGAAAACCGATGTGCTGGCCAGGCACCGGAACAAACCAATCGGAGCTGCTGCCTGGGGAACCAACTAGGAAGCAGGGTGTCAGTGGCTCTCCTATAAAACAAGAGAACCACCATTTGAGTGGATCAGTGCCACTTGTAAAAAAGAAAGAAAATTATCAGCAGCAGCAACAACATGTCTGAAAACTGGGATCTGGAACTGATTTCCACATCACCACCATTGCCATCGCTACCTCCATGGCAATGCGGTAGATGCCAAGGGTGCCTACCTGTGTACGCCCTTGGCACAAGGGCACGGGATGGAACTTTCGAATGTGTGTATTGTAAGACCATCCTCAAGGACACCTACGTGCGGAGTTTAACGCACACAAGTAGGTGTCCTGAAAGACGGAAGATGAAAGCCCACCCGTGCCTTTGCAGCACACCCCCTTTGTGGGTGAAGAGTTAGCCTCTCACGGTCAAACGGCCCTTTTCAGGGCCACCCATCTCTCCCGAAAGATCGCTTTCATCCTTTGCTTTGACGACCCTCAAACCTAAACAAAGAACCCACCTCCTCCTCCTCCCTCCCTCCCTTCACCACCTCCTTCCCTTCACCACCACCGCCTTTTCTACGTCTATGTTTAGAACAACAACAACAACAACGGGAGCAACGTCCTCTTGAAGGTACGCACACCACCGGAAACGGAGGCAACGCCATCTTGGATGCGCGCGCAGGTCCCATCATGCCCTGCGCGCATGCGCAGGTCACGTGACCGGAAGTGACGTCATCAGAGGTCACGTGATCCTCTCGACCAATCAGAAGCCAGGAGCGGTCCTATACTACTGCCACCAACTACTTTTGTTAAATTTACCACATTTGTGGGCTACAAAGGCCCATATATTACACATCGCCATATTACACATTACATATGCATTTCTCATTCTTCTTTTGATCCTTAGTGGAAACGTGCCTAAACAAAGACCTCTATGTGTCTGGTCATAAGGGTAAACAAAGGCCTCTATTGTCTGGTCATTAGTCTAAACAAAGGCCTCTATGTGTCTGGTCATTAGTTTAAACAAAGGCCTCTATGTGTCTGATCATTAGTCTAAACAAAGGCCTCTATGTGTCTGGTCATTAGTCTAAACAAAGGCCTCTATGTGTCTGGTCATTAGTCTAAACAAAGGCCTCTATGTGTCTGGTCATTAGTCTAAACAAAGGCCTCTATGTGTCTGGTCATTAGTCTAAACAAAGGCCTATATGTGTCTGGTCATTACTCTAAACAAAGGCCTCTATGTGTCTGGTCATTAGTCTAAACAAGGGCCTCTATGTGTCTGGTCATTAGTCTAAACAAAGGCCTCTATGTGTATGGTCATTAGTCTAAACAAAGGCCTCTATGTGTCTGGTCATTAGTCTAAACAAAGGCCTCTATGTGTCTGGTCATTAGTCTAAACAAAGGCCTCTATGTGTCTGGTCATTAGTCTAAACAAAGGCCTCTATGTGTCTGGTGATTAGTGTAAACCAAGCCCTCTATGTGTCTGGTCATTAGTCTAAACAAAGGCCTCTATGTGTCTGGTCATTAGTCTAAACAAAGACCTATATGTGTCTGGTCATTAGTCTAAACAAAGGCCTCTATGTGTCTGGTCATTAGTCTAAACAAAGGCCTCTATGTGTCTGGTCATTAGTCTAAACAAAGGCCTCTATGTGTCTGGTCATTAGTCTAAACAAAGGCCTCTATGTGTCTGGTCATTAGTCTAAACAAAGGCCTATATGTGTCTGGTCATTAGTCGAAACCAAGGCCTCTATGTGTCTGGTCATTAGTCGAAACCAAGCCCTCTATGTGTCTGGTCATTAGTCTAAACAAAGGCCTCTATGTGTCTGGTCATTAGTGTAAACAAAGGCCTCTATGTGTCTGGTCATTAGTCTAAACAAAGGCCTCTATGTGTCTGGTCATTAGTCTAAACAAAGGCCTCTATGTGTATGGTCATTAGTCTAAACAAAGGCCTCTATGTGTCTGGTCATTAGTCTAAACAAAGGCCTCTATGTGTCTGGTCATTAGTCTAAACAAAGGCCTCTATGTGTCTGGTCATTAGTCTAAACAAAGGCCTCTATGTGTCTGGTGATTAGTCTAAACAAAGGCCTCTATGTGTCTGGTCATTAGTCGAAACAAAGGCCTATATGTGTCTGGTCATTAGTCTAAACAAAGGCCTCTATGTGTCTGGTCATTAGTGTAAACAAAGGCCTCTATGTGTCTGGTCATTAGTCTAAACAGACCATTCCAATATTTCCTTGTCTATTTTGATAATCAAACTGTACAAGAAACAAGTATATGCCCATCATATTCCATGTGTTTGTCAGGTCTATCTGAGTGAAAATACATTCACCCCTTGCTTTAAATGATAAACATTGCTGTTTAAAACTGTTATTTCCAAGTGTGTCATTGCCACAGAATTTTTAACTCTGGGTATTGCTCTCATGGCACCCACTGTGAATAAAAGCCTGATTTATCATACAGACGAGAATCACACACATGTTCTGGATACAAGAACAATTCCCTTGACTTCCCTGACTGACTGACTGACAAATGACTAGTGGAGGAGTGAGTGAGTGAGTGAGTTGGGTTTTACGCTGCTTTTAACAGTATTCCAGTTATATCACGGCGTGTCAGCTTCATGTGGGAGGAAAGCCCGAAGTGATGCAGGTCTCAGACGTTTACCACTACGGTGAAACCCACGAGCACGGGTATGGTGCTGACAAACCTAGAAACATAATCGGGGCGAACCGGGATTCGAACCCACAATCATAGGTTTCTGGCGTGCCCAAGGGACGCAACTCTGCACAGTGAATCGCAGCGCCTTAGACAACTGGGCTACCCGTGCCCCCCGACTAGTGGAGGAAGTATCAATACCTATGACATAAATTAACACTCATGGGGTGGCAAGGTGAGCTTATTAAATGAGGACAGTATTGAAGTTCATATCAAATGCAGAGGATGATATAAATATTCAGCCATGATTAGCTTTAATTAAAAACTATTATGACAGATGATGAATACACAATTGCAGTAATTCAATGAGTATTTTATATAAACCGGGACCAGTTGAAATTTGTTAATTCGATCCGAAACGTCTTGGTTGCCCTGAAATTGACAGTTGAAGATGGTTAGTTCAAATTTTATGTTGTGTCGGTATTGTAGCAATATTCCCTGAATACGTTCAAATAAAAGTAAATACGAATGTGTGTGGGAAGAACACGTGTGACATTCAAGTACTTCTGGAAAGAGCTGTCCAGCTGCATGGTGATCGCAGACAGTAATCCAACTTTATGTTACCTATTTCAATATATTTGCTACATCTGATTAGTTTTTTCAATGGCAGCTGACTAATGGGAATACTTACCTTGAGTGTAGACATTGCTGTCACTGTGCAGCCACAGCTGTGAACAGACACTGACCACTTTACTTCCGGTGCCGGCAAGTGCTCTTGGCGCCTCCTATTGCGGCACGAGCAGTGAAGAGTTTTTCCGTCTCATTCAGCCAGTCGAGTATCTCACCACAGAACTGCATGCCCAACTACTCTTTCTAAAACTTAATATAGATTATCTAATGAAGGTATGTACATGAACTGTAACATTCAACTGAATGAAAAAAATGATTCTATGCATGTTGCGTCGTTATTCACGGGAGTAAAGTAACATTATTGTTAAAGTCTCCTTGTCTGTCGTTAATTCTCTTTCACTTCTGTATTAATTAAAATTACATACTGCCACTCTTTGAATGTTGACTGTAACGGTTACAGTTAAAACGGCACCTCAGAAAACCTCACCAAGCGAAAACGGCTACTTTATTGCATCTTATTTTATTTTTTTTACCTTGTTACTTAAAAAATGAAATTAAACTTACATTGTCACTTGCAAACACAAATAATTGTGAAATGTTAACATGAGACAAGACCACTACAGTGAGTGGGTTTAATGCCGCATTTAGCAGTATTCCAGTTATATCGTGACATGTCAGCTTAATGTGGGAGGAAAGCCCGAAGTGATGCAGGTCTCAGACGTTTACCACTTCGGTGAAACCCACGAGCAAGGGTATGGTGCTGACAAACCAAGAAACATAATGGGGGCAAACCGTCAACCACTAGAGACAAGGTGGATTCAGGAGGGCTGACTCAGGGCCGATGTGAGGAAGTCCTCCACATCTCGTCAGGACGACATCTTCCACGTGTGGCAGAGGCATAAAGATGAAGGTTGCTGACACAATGCTCTGTGGATCTTTGAAAGATTCAAGATGACAATATTCTACTGTGAGCAACTGTGGAAGACAAGACAATGTGCATGAAGCATATATACTACCACATAAATCATTCTTGAAAATAAAGGCGTTGTTTTTGCCCGAGAAATAGCAGCCATTTTCACCAAATGAAGTGTCGTTTTCACCCGAGAAATCAGTGAGGTTTTGCTGAGGTGCTGTTTTAGCCTACACCCCTGAACACACTTGCTTGATAATGGTCTTAGAATTTACACTGAAATGTCGCTCCTGATTGTAATAAAGAAGTTGTTCATCCATCTTATCCTTACTTAGTACTCCAACTAGATGCCTCTAAAAGAAGTAACACTTTGTATGTTGGCTTCAGTGAATATGTGATATCTTCTATATTGAAACCCGTCACCTCTACAATGTTGGAGCGCGCTTGGAGACATAATTAAACATGCACTTCGTCATGATGTTTATTAACTTGCTAAGTAACTAATATACCAAAGTGTATGGATGGTAGAGATTGATGAATCGTGTGTAATACATGAATAAGGACACATTAAGATCAGTAGTATCATGATATAACATTTTTCAGTTTTCAAATCATAATTAGATCCACAGCAAAGGCTCTAATAAGTTATCATTTTGCAACATTGACACAAAATTTTATACAATTATAATTAAGTAGTACATATTTATCAAGGAAAAATGCAGATACAAAATATTAGTAGTTTCAGTTATAGTGAGTGAGTGAGTGAGTGAGTTGGGTTTAACGCCGCTTTTAACAGTATTCCAGTTATATCATGGCGTGTCAGCTTCATGTAGGAGGAAAGCCCGAAGTGATGCAGGTCTGAGACGTTTACCACTCCGTGAAACCCACGAGCACGGGTATGGTGCTGACAAACCTAGAAACATAATCGGGGCGAACCGGGATTCGAACCCCCAATCATAGGTTTCTGGCGTGCCCAAGGGAATGCAACTCTGCACAGCGAATCGCGGCGCCTTAGACGACTGAGCCACCCATGCCCCCAGTTTCAGTTATAGCTTTTAAGACAGATGCTAGCCTAACATGCCTAAGGTAACGAGAACACATCTCCCAGACATAATATCCAATAAGACAAAAGATATGTGTACATAGATTGCCTTGAACTAAGTAAATCACCTATATCATGCATATTAGAATAACATTCAACAAATACTTCAATTTTTCATAAAGGATTAGCCAATCGACAAGCACCCAGAAGATATGTCAACAAGATTAGTGCCTGTCAAACAGGATTAACAGGATAAGTTTTTCCCCTCTGTCTAACCATTCATTAATCATTGGGCACACTCCATTGTGTATCAACCAATCCTATTCCTTTTTATTGTTCTAACTTCTAACAAATAATGCTGTGAGTAAATCTAGTATCACTATCACCCATGTTTTGTTCTACTATTGGGCCCCCAGGTAACCCCTTGAGAATTCAGGAGGGGGCTCTTCCATACCCACACCACCTGATTGATGAACCCAGTCTAGCACAGAGCACCTAATTACTTGTATGTCTCTAACTAGTAAATTCATTCGTCACCACTCGCCCCTTTTCGTAACCTGTAAGAAGACTCGTCCCCCTATCGATGAATGTTATGTGCGAAAATACGACAAACGAATCAGAATGCGCGTATGATTTCAAGTTCTTTGTCAAAGAATCCCTCAGAAATAATTTTTGAATTTACATATGTCTTGCATCTAAAAATATTATGTGTTCAATAATACTGTATAATTCCACATGTCCCGATGTGCTTTAAACTGCATCTGAAATAATGTGGGAAATCTTTGGAAAATGTGTGAACCATTACGCAACGACTTGACAATTGTTTTAGGTATGCCTGTTTGCGCTAAGACGGAACCCGGTTTCAAAAATGGCCACGAGAGGGGCACGAGTCGCTATTCGGCTTGTCCCGGAATAACACGAGTTGGTCACGAATGTGGTAAATTCGGTGAAGTGGGCCAATACCGGTGAGAAGAGGGGTACGTCATTGCACAATGGTTCAGCAAAGTGACTCTCAGCAATTGTTAAAACAAGTTTAAACTACAAAGTTTTTAATCAGTGTTTAGTGGGGCCTATACCAGACGTTTGAATCTGTAAATTATCCTTGTCTCCCACAGATATTCATGGGAATGAAACAGCAGACAGACTGGCAAAGCTAGCTCTGGACAAGGCAGAGATACACCCTATTGCTTTCAGCAAACTGGAGGAAATGCAAAATCAAAGCAGAAATGACAAGCCCAATGGCACGCAAGTGAAGGTTGCAGATGGCTAAACAAAATACAAAATTCAAACTCAAATTGGAAAAAAGCTACACTCCTACTGATCTGTAAAGATGGCCAGCTCCTCAACCGTATCTTTACAGAGCAGCCAAAGTAATTACATCCATTTCTAAACAGACAAATTTGTATCAGTTAGAAAATAGAAACCATATCAAAATAAAAGCAGAAAGATGGTCTAACAAACTGTTCAACAGTTCAACCACATGAAACAGGCATATTGTGTTTGAACAATTATATTATATTTTGTCAACATAATTATGATCTCAGAAGGGCATTACTGCCATCAATCATCTAAACTGGGATGTGACTTTCAGTGCATGTCGTTATTTATTGTGATTATTTATTCTGAACTTTATTTTGTCATGGTCACTGAACAAATGCCTTGTGGGGGCACCTCTATTGTGCTGACATGTCTTGTGTGAGAGGTTAACATGCACATTATATACAGATGATGTGAAAACCTTTCATTTTACTTTCTTTATTATGCCTGTTTGGCATTATTTTTTTTAACGTTTAAAAATCTATACTGCCTCAACATTTCATGCAACACAAGTGCATTTGTTTTCCATCCACTATGTGGTTGTTCAAAGTACACTTATTACCCCGTTCAATGGATCAGTGTGCACTTAACAATCATTCTCAGCTCCCTGGGGAGTATACAACCCAAACTGCTTCGAGGCACTAGAAGGTTAACCGTCACATTGACATCTCATCCTACCGGGTACCCATTCACAGCCTAGCTGCTGAACAAAGTCGTCCAACTACTCCCCACAACCGGTATAGCTTAACTTGACATGATTTGTGACCTGTGCACTGTGCACAGGACCACATGCCACCAGCTCATGCATTCTGATACAGATATGATAAATGATCAATAATTCTTATATTAAAAAAACTTGACACCTACTTCACATACTCTGAGTATCATGTTTTACTTAGTGGGTCAGTCAACTGCTTGGTGGTCAATCAGAGTGTAAGCCCAGGTGTCCTCTGGGTTGGCTAGTTTTTAATCTCTGTGTCCCACATTTGTTTTCACCCTGCACTTGGCATGGATACTTCGCTGTGCACTGGACTGCAAGAAAGGATATACTTATATAAAGGTTAGTAGTTCAAGTTATAATTTTATTTTATGCCAGTATAATTATGCAAATCACTTTAGTTTAATAAATGTCTATATAGATCCTTTATTATATTTAAACATGTCACATTTACTAGTATTAGGGTGTGCATGGTGAGTGTATGTATACTAGATATATTTCATTTCACTATATGTGTATCTGTGTTAATCTAGGACATTTGTGATTTCAGTAACTTGTATTTTGTATTAATAATTTGATAATAGTTTACATGTTATGTTCATGTGTGTAGATAAACATACCTTCATGATGTATTTTATATCATGAACAGGTTTTCACGAGGGTTTTGTCATATTGACGAGGGATTGTGACCACCCAAATACACCCCAGTGGGATTCACCGGGTATATATATATATATTGCTTGCATTGTAACATAACATTATATCTATTGTACCATATTTATATTGAATGTAAATCCATTAAACTTACATATCTAAGCTTATAATTGTGAGTGAGTGAGTGAGTGAGTGAGTGAGTGAGTGAGTGAGTGAGTGAGTGAGTGAGTGAGTATGGTTTTACACCGCTTTTAGCAATATTCCAGCAATATCACGGCGGGGGACACCAGAAATGGGCTTCACACATTGTACCCATGTCGGGAATCAAACCTGGGTCTTCGGCGTGACGAGCGAACGCTTTAACCACTAGGCTACCCGACCGCCCCTTATAATTGTGAAATGTTATAAATGATATAGTGTAGTAGATTATTATTTAATCTGCTTCGGTTTTGATGTACTAGATATAATTGTATGTTTATTATTGTATTCATTGTTCCAGGGTGTCGGTTTATCACGACAGACAATAAATAATCAGACCTCACACCCTAGCCTGTGTCATTATGTTATCTGGGACACATATGCACATATTAATGGCTACAACAGTTGTAACATACTAAAAGTTGTCAATACTGGGGCTTGATTGATATGTTGATAGGTAACGCAATTGACATAGATATTGATTCAATAGTGGCAGGTAATATCAATATAGATTCATTACCTTAGTATCCTTAAATGACTAGAATATTTGCAGGCAACTTTTAGTCTTCAACAAATTATCATTGAACCCACAAGGTTTACTCAGCACCCCCGAACATTTAACTAGTATTATACTCTTCAGGAGCTCTTGACCCTG